AGGATCAAACCAGAGCTACAAACAACCACAGTTCTGCTTTTTATACATAATTTAGAGAGGGGAGTGGTGTATTTGACTAGTAGTTGTTCTATCTAGTTGATCTACAAGCTACAAGCTTGAACACAAAAACAATTGCTAATCCAATGTTTGATAGTGGCAGTTATGCACCAAGAAACAGCAATGCAGCAAAAAACAGGGAAGAAGGAGAATACTAGTCAATGTTAACAGGGACATTAACATTGCAGATTCCAAAAATATTTTTAAAAATCATCTTAGCAAATATCTACCAAGGAAGGATGTAACCTACTTTGTTTGGCCTCTGTTATGCCTGAGGGATTCATGGTGTGTTCTGGGAGAAACAGTGAATGTAAACATAACTGTGTTTGAAACGAAAAGATAGGGTACCTTTAAAATCTGTCATCAAAAGACCATCCGAAATACTGACATGATGTCATATCAACATTAGTGCCCAAATAATAAAACGCTGGGCCAGTATTTGCTTATCACAGATATACTGGCTCCAGTATACATATCAGTTGATAAGTAAAAAGAAACTACAGTACACAAAAGCCAAACATCATCATTAGTTTGTCCACAAGATATCACTAACAGGTGTATTTTTCGACTATTAAATTACTGTCATTCCCACCGACCCAACCGTCACTATATGGTTGCTTGCATAGTGTTGACAATTGCAGTGTATGTGACCATGAAGTTGAGTTTACATAGTTTGCATTAAATATATAGAGTGTACTCCAAGAAGTGATTGTTGAGCCAACAGACTGAAACCAATCTAATTATAAAAATGGTCTACTGCTGTTGCTATTCAATCATCACTACTATGTGGGACTTCTAAATGGCATTCTGGGTAACGTGGGAATTCACAAAATGATATATAAGCATAGATTCAGGGTGGAGGAAAGTAAATACTCCAGTAAAACTAACAACAGTAAGAGTAAAAGTAAACAGTAAACTACAAGACATCATCACAAAATAACTCATGGAATGTACTGAGCATCATGAACAGCAGATTCCTTCAACAGCAGCTGAACGAAACAGTGTTGACCTTTTTTTTTCTTTTTTTTTTTTTTTTTACATAAGGCAAGTAAAGTTATACATCAAATGTGCTTGCCAACAGTGATATTATCTTCCGTTTGGCTTTGCCTTGAGCTTTAAACTTGGCTTAAGTTTCCCCTAAGATTTCACAGCAAATAACTTCTCAAAAGACCTCTGTGGTTATCCTGTTTTGCCAAACAGCTGTTACATGGCCACTTGGGACGAGTGAGAGAAGAGGTCCAGGATGGGAGCAATGATCCAAACAAGAGGCTGAGAGGCACAGGGACAGGAAAAACCAAAGCAGGAACAGAGCAGACAGACAGAGAGAGACAGACAGAGGGATGTGAAGAGAGAGAATTCAAACTTGTGAGGCCATCCACACTTGCTTGATTGTGTCTGTGGCCAGAAGCGAGAGGACGAGAGTGGGACGAATAAAACAATTAACATGAACAGTACTCTGGGGAATGTGGGTTTCCTTGACAACAGTGGGCATGGCCAAACAAATGAGCTCTTTCATAACAATTCAAGACAAACAGAAATGTCTCCCTTATTAGCACCCAGGCATTGGTAAAAAAAAAAAAAAAAAAAAAAAAAAAAAAAAAAGGTGCATCCCTCCCTGTTGTCCTAGAGAAGAAATATATATTTTCCAAAATGCAAGCATCGACTCGCACGAATAAGAACTGATTATCATCAAACAACAAATAACTGATCTGTTGGAATGGTAGGAAAATAACTACAGGGAGTTTTGATGTAAAACCTCAGGTAACTTTGGGTTCATGTGTAAACCTGAGAGACTGGTGAGGCTGCAGAGCTGATCAGAGTTACTGGGGTGTGTGTGTGTGTGTGTGTGTGTGTGTGTTAACTGTAAATTTGGGTTGTGGGACGGGTGTGGTTTTGTGTTCTTCAGAACAGTGTTTGATGAGCCAGCAGGTCCACCCTGTGTCCTGGCAAAGGTGCTGATCTATAATCAGTTGCAGGAGACTTTGAATAGTTCGACTTTTTATTTGCTTTCTTGCTGAGAGTTCGATGAGAGGATTGATACCACCCTCAAGTCTGTACAGTAAATATAAAGCTATAGCCAGTTAGCTTAGCTTAGCATAAAGATTGGAAACAGTGGGGTAACAGCTCACCTGCCTCTGTCCAAAGGTAACACAATCTGTTACAAGCACCTCTAAAGGTCATCTATTAACATGTAATAATTTGTTTGTTTAATCTGAAAAACCAAAGTCTAAAGGGAGTAATCTGTTGTTTTACAGAGGTACGTCATTGCCAGATGCAGTGAAGTCTCCGTTTGCCGTGTCACAACAAGACTTAAAGAATCAATCAAGACCTGGTTGAAAGGTAGTATTTTGCTGCCCTCTCCAGTTGACTGTTTCAGTCAGAAGTGTGCTCTGTCGCACCTGTAACCACACTCAATGGTGACGTCATCTGGACTAAAAATACACCTGTACGTCACTGCAGCAAGGTGAAAAGTTAAAACCACTACACATCAGCAGCGACAAGCTTTTCAGGAGGTGTTCAAGTACTCTTTAATAACGTGTTCATTAGTGAGCTTCAGATGTAGGTGGATTTTGTTACTTTTGGACACAGCCAGGCTAACTGTTTCCCCCTGTTTCCAGTCTTTACACTAGGCTAAGCCAACCTGCTGCTGGGTCCAGCTACAAGTTCACCGTAGAGAGTGATATTGCTCTTCTTATCCAACTCTCCACCAGAAAGCAAATAAACATCAACAACAACCCAAAATGAAAAACAACAACCCAAAATGCTTAAATATTTCTGCACAAGAATGCAACGATAACTGCTGGCACTATGTTTTTCATTACAAAGTCAGTCTATGAACAAATTGCTGCAGGACAGGGAGGGGTGGGTGGAGGTTGGCTAACTGTTCAGCCATGCATGAGACCCCACTTACCACCCCCACCCCTCTTGTTCTTTCCTTCTTTCTCTCTGTCTTTCTGGTGGCACTTGAGCCTAATGAAGTCACTACAGAGTATAATATTTAGCAACAGCTTGCACATTTTTAAGCCTGGCTTGGTCAAGTAGAAACTTTCAACATTGGCATCAGTAGCACACAATGACTGCACTCAGCCCACTCAACTAATTCATCATGACAAACAAACAGTCACAAAGAGGTCGTTTTTGAATGTAAATATTAAATTTCAGAGAGAATAATCACTGCTGCATGATGTGAAATGAGTGAGGTTTTTGTTGTGAAACTAACAGCTTTCAATTGAATGGTCTTTGTGATTAATGCCAAGAGTCATCAGGGCGATCAACCCAATGAATCAACAGTGTGAAAGTTTGTTTGGGCGGAACATTGATGTATGCGTGCTACGTAATTATTTAATGAGTAGTTTGACAGCATTTGTGGATGTGTTTGTGTGTGGCGGAGGGAGAGAGACACACAACAAAGAGAGAGGGAAAAAGAGAAAGGGGGCGGGGGGCGGTCGTGATCTATAAAGAACGAATGTAGGTCAGTGTTTTGTGTGTGCAACATCTAAATTTTTCTCTCAAACACCAACAAACATTAAAACAACTACAACCTTTTCCATGTTCCTTTTCCATCATCCTCTCCGCAAGCCTACATTTCCTCTCTTCCTCTCTCCATGACCCATTTCTGAACAGGCAGAACTTGCCTCGGTCCAGCTATTTTGTCCTGTCCTGCTGATAACAAAACATCAAGCGGCTGTATACTCTGAGCAGCCCCTCACAACTTGTTTTGTCAGTTCTGAATATTTTTATTATTATTTATTATGAAGCTTTATTTAGACAGGGGAATCCATTGAGACAGAGGTCTCATTTTCAATGGCGCCCTGGTTACATACACAGAATTTGATACATAAAAACAATATAAAACAGTCAAACATTGTAAAACAATGTAAAAGAGTCAATACAAAAACACGCGATCTCAATAGGATCTTATCAAATAATAGCACTAAAAAAATATACGGAAAATATGGCCTGCAAGATAGAATAATACGATAATCTATGGGAGCCAAAGGATCACAAGGTAAAATCACTATTCAGAAATATTACAGACACAGAATTCCTCATTCTACAATAGATACAATTAATGCTGTACATTATACAGCCACTATACACAACTATAAAGTAAGCCGTACTCATAACTCACAAAAAGGATGTAGAGATTAGTGCTGAAGTATTAGCTGGTAAAACAAGAAGCCGACTAACAGAAAATTAATCAATGACCATTTTAATAACCAATGTGTTGTGTCACTTTAATTTAATGTTATTTTGATGGTCACTGAAGACATGACGGGTGACTCTGTTGCTATTAGTCGTTTGTTATCTGTGAAATATGCCCGTTTTATACTTTATACTTGTACTTATTCATAAATACAGATTTTCATGCTTTTATTGATTTTCATTATTATTTTTATGTTTCTACCCAACTGCATTTGTAAATCACTTCAGTCAACAGTTGCTTTTTTATGTTCTATAAAGAATTTTACACTAAGGCTGAGACTGAATCAACACAATTAGCTGATTCCTATAATCTCCTAATATAAGAAAATACAACTATCATCTGTTTCAGCTGAATTCTTTATTGTTCAGACAAAGAAAATGTTCCTTCTTGGTCACAGGGAACTTGCATGTGCATCTGTTATTGTTTTTTGGATTAAAAAAAAACAACTTATCTGTTATTAATATTATCCAGAGGAAATAATCAGTTGCACTCCTGAGTGAGACATTCGTCAGAGCCGCATGTTAATTGGTCCAAAAGTGCAAATAACAAATGCATCATGTTTAACTGCAAAACACAAACCTGTATTTGATCCAAGGATGATTACAAGCTTATTTATTACTGAACTGAGACCTCTGATGAAGGGATGCGGACCAGCCGCAAATTTACGACCAGCAGCAGTGATGTGATGTCACGTGACCTTGTTGGGGTCGGATACACGCGCGCTGTATATCCTGCATATCCCACAGCACAGTGAGCTCACACAGACAGGAGACCACCTCCTCCTGCAGCGCACAATGATCCGACTCCTCCGCTGTCGACCCGGCTGCTGCTTTTGGACAACTCCTGACTGTCACGGATTAAATAAAGCCGTCAGTTCCTGAGAGAAGAGTCGAGAAGACGACTGGTCTCCTTTTGCAGCTGGGGTGTTCGCCAGTTAAACTCCCATCGCAGGCTCTGCCAGCTCTGGTTTGAAGGGGTTTTACTTTCAGAGTTCAGCCAACAGTTCACCTGCAGACGTGAAACCATGCGCTCCCGGTCTGCGCCCCCCAGGTAAGTCACGTCTATGTCAGATTCGTCTGTGCGTAACGCAGTAAGCTGTGTAAACTATTTATAGGCCTATATGAGACGAAGTCAGAAAAAATGAATTGATGAAGTAGTAAATTACAAACGATGGATGAATAAAGTTTTTTTCAAGAATCTTTTTTTTCCTCCTGAAATACAAATATTTAATATGGTCTTTATGTGCTGTATAGGTTGGAACACACATATACGATTTTTTATTTTACAGGAGACTTTTCTAGGCTCTATCTCTGCACCACTTCCATGACAGAGTGCTGTATATTGTAGTCCCAGTGAGAGAGGAAGGTGCGAGTGTGTTTAAGATACAAAACTATGGCTTGTTACCCAGCCACTCTTGCTGGCTTAAGGCCAATCCCCTAGACCACTTAAGGAATTTTCCATCAGAGCCTAGTAAGGCCTGATCTTTGCCCTGTCATATTTGCAGCATTAAAAACAGTGGAAGTTTACAGTTGCCAAATTCCAGCGCAGATAAAAATTCTTCAAGTTGAAATACTTTCCCCCTCCCCTGCTTGTGATTGTAAGTCCATGATGCTGCTGTTAGGAATGAGGATGTTTTTCATGCAGACAGTAAGAGAGGCCCAGACATCCGGTCTGAACACAAACACATGGGCTCTGCAGAAAAGTTGGGTCTGATACACTTCTTTTTTCTTAGTACAGTAGTTCACCTATTCTCTCCTCCTGCCCATCCACAGGTTTACCCCCCTCCTATTTCTCCTCCTTCTTCCCCCTGTTTTCTCCTCCTCCTCCTCCTCCCGCCCCCAGTGGATTCCCCAGCGTGTCCCTGTGGTCCTCCCACAGAACACGGAGCCTCGGCCTGCCCCTCACTTCCTGTCTCCGGCCCGTCTGGATGTCACCTCCCCCTGTGACCCAGAATGCCACAAAAGAGCCCCTCAACCAAGCTACTGGGACCTGCGGCGCCTTTTGTCCTATGAGACTCTCCACTCTGATGGTCAACTAACTGAGACTGCCGTTGGGATCTATGGCTACAACCTCAATTCTAAGACCAGTCCGGCCTACTCCTCAGGGTCTTCTGGAAAGGCTGAGCAGTCACATGTCAGGAGAAAGCGACAGATCTTTGGCCATGATGGGCGTTTTAGCATTGCTGGACAGAACTTCCTGCTTAAATATCCTTTCTCAGTGGCTGTCAAACTGTCCACTGGGTGCTCCGGTACACTGGTGGGGGACCGTCATGTTCTCACAGCCGCTCATTGTGTTCATGATGGTAAAAACTACGTGAAAGGAGCCCAGAAGCTTCGCGTTGGCTTTTTAAAACCCAAGCAGCGGGTCACACAGCCTGCCTCCTTTTACCTTCCCTCCAACTTCACCAACCATGTTGAAGGTGGTCCTGATCCTTACGCCCCACCAACCAACAACAAAATGAAGTTCCAGTGGATCAGAGCCAAGCGCACCCATGTTCCCAAAGGATGGATTAAAGGGAATGCCAATGACATTGGGATGGACTATGACTACGCGTTGCTTGAACTCAAGAAACCCCACAAACGCCGCCACATGAAGCTAGGAGTCAGCCCCCCGGCTCAGAAGCTGCCCGGTCATCGGGTCCACTTCTCAGGATTTGATAATGACCGTCCAGGCCAGCTGGTGTATCGGTTCTGTCGGGCCGGTGAGGAGACATCAGATCTGCTGTACCAGCACTGTGATGCTCAACCCGGGGCCAGTGGATCAGGAGTATATGCCCGGATGTGGGATGGGAGGCGTCGGCGCTGGGAGCGGAAGGTGATAGGCGTGTTTTCTGGGCATCAGTGGGTGGAGCGACAAGGGGCGTCTCAGGAATTTAATGTAGCGGTGAGAATCACCCCGCTCAAATATGCTCAGATCTGTTACTGGATAAAAGGGAACTTTGTGGACTGCAGAGAGGGGTGAGGAGAAGGTGGAGTGAGGATGACATAGGGGTGTAACTACATCCTCATACATCTTTCTGGAATATCGAGGCTGCAAGAATCTACACCTTTCACCCTACTACTTGTAGCACTGACATGACATCAATATAAATATCAAAATATTGTTGCCCCTACTCTCAGATGCCAATATCAGTAAAGACAGACACAAATCCTGTAACAGCACTGAATTATGTAAACAGGGTGCATTTGTTTCATTTATGCTTAGTTTTACATCTTCACATTTCTAAAACATGAAAATGTTATATTTGTGTTAACTGGGGGAACATTGTGGTCAGGTGGTTTTGCAGAACAGAATCAGGCTTTTCTGCTTCTTGGAACATTCATCCGGATAACAAAGTTATCTGCAAGCTCCATCTGGAACATGGACTAATGCAAAAAGATGTTTTGGAATACAACCTAAGCAGCAGAACTGGAAAAGCTGTTTCTCTACGCATCATAACCTTTTTTTCTTGAGCTACACTAAAGATTGCACTGTTAAACTTTTTTTCTACTGAAAATGACTTTTGTGGATGAATGTACATGTCAGCTACCAAAGGCGCCAACTGTTTCTCTCCGAGCTATCATATATCTCCTCTCAGTGGACTCACTAGTTATCTACAGGCATAGTGTACTCTGTCAGCTAAATTAACAGTGAAGAAAGTTTTGGAAGAACATTCAACTTGTCACATAGATGTTTAACAACTGCAGATGACCTGTTACATGAAGTTCATTTTGTTGTACTTTAATGCTTACCTCCCTCTGGTGGCAAAGATAAAACACTGCAGGTCTCTGTAATGAAGGTTATGCTGACTTCGCCTAGCCTAAGCACTTTTTACTTTCTCCATTATTTGTGTTTCTGAAATTGAAGACAAATTTAATGAAATATATGCTTTGAAATATGAAAATGTGTCACATATTTCTTCAGTTTTCTCATGAAACATATTTTATACAGAAATACAAATGCACATTCTTGGTTGAAACACCATTTGTTTTATTTCAGATGTCAAAAAGCATTTTCAGAAATGCTGTGGGGGAAACTGAACACTGTAAAAAACCGAAATATGAGGACCAGCTCCTATGACTTTTCCAGCTCCAACACGCTCAACCAGGAGTCTTAATCCTGGGATATGGCACATAGAAAACCAACTCTGTGACTCAATTTGACAATTTTTATAACAAGAGGGAGCACAGATTTATATCTTTCCAAATCTCACTCCTCAATTCTGTTCTCCAGCTGTGATCTTATGGGTTTCTCCAAACCAAAACAAAGCCGACAGAATGTGTGTTATTTAAGGAAGGAGTAAACATTCAAGTAAGAACTGTAAGTAAGTAAGAACACCCATTCAAAACTGATCTTTCTGTGATCGTGCTCAATTGAAGGCTATCGCTATCAAAATTACAAAAACATGCCAATTCAAGTCAACAGAACCGTTCAGCTGCAAAATTTGCTACATTCAAGTGGAACAAGAGCACAAACAAAACATGAGCAGCAAAAGGCTGAATTAAGGGCTGAGTTTGCAGATAAAGCAGAATAATGGGCACATGAATGAAATTTGAGTTTAATCAAAGATTCGTCACACTTCTTCTGTGATCCAGATACACACACTGGTTCAGCTCAAAAGTAGCTTCCTCCACCTCTCAATATGAAATTCACAACAGCACAGGAAACATTGATTTTCACATTTCCCTCTCAGACGGATAAAAAAGGCTTTTCTGCTCAAGTTGTATTTATTTCTATCTGAATACTGAACAGCTAACGAACGGGCTGTGACACTAACACTTAATACTGCCCGAAGTTATGCACTGCCTGCAGATTAGAGCCAGCGGAGGGGTGGAGGCTCATAAAGAGGAACCCACTTAAGAGTTAAAAGGATGTTCACGAAGTATGACTGAAGAGAAAGGCAACAACATGCAAGGCAACCTGTTTGTAACACCATTCTGGTAACCAAAAATACATGAACTGGTAATGAGGTGACACATACAGTCTTTCCCCTCCAGCTGTCTTCACCCTTTGATTTTGCATTTATCCCCAATGGAAATGTCACTGTTAAATATCGTCTGCTGTCTAATCCATATAAGAGCGTGATGACTGACATATTTGCAGTGAATGAAAGGTTAGATCTGGGGACAACAAAATACTTTTCTAATAGCCACATTCGTTCTGTTATCTGCATCCAATCCACAAAGAGATGGACCTGATGTGATATGGTCCTCACTTCCAGTATGGTTTAAGCATTCAGGCACCGAAAATCAGCAAAATAAAGTGTCTGGATGGCTTTTAAGAACTCAAATAACCAGAACCGGGGCAGGCACGGCTGAAAAACACACCAATAGCATCTGAATCCCTTCTCACTTGTTGGCAGCCTTGTGAAAGTTTATAAAGCCTGGTGCTGTAACTGCCCCTCCAGATAGTCAACGATGTGAAACAAGCAGATACTGATAGTAAAAGGTAAGAAACATGAATGAGGAAGAATACAGCATTTTCTGCAGAGGCAGTGGATGGGAGTACCTAAGGTGTTTTACATACAGACTGATCTCAAGTGAATCAAAGTTTTATTTGACATTGTGGTAAAAATCCACACTGAGGGTCAGCTTTAAGAATAATTGGGCATTTTGGGAAATTCATTTATTCTCATTCTGGTAAGTAAATCGATACCTCATGTCTGTACAGTGAAGACAAAGCTACAACTAGCAGTGAGTGAATTTTGTTTAATCCATACGAAAAAAAAGCAAAAAAATTGCACAGGTTTCATATTTACTGTACAGACATGAGAGTGATACTGATCCTCTCATTCTTTGCCTGAAAGAAAAGAAGGACATTTTCCAAAATGTCGAACTATTCCTTAAAGAGCAGTGACAAACAATCAGCTTTAATTGCTGCAGCAATGCTGCCCCAAACAGCAACTGGTTCCAGATTTTAGATTTGGGAGCCTCAAGGTTCAAGCAGAATATGGGCCAATCAGGATTCAGGATCTCAGGCTCGACTCCTTCCACTGCTCTGAATCGCTCATCTGGTTTAAGTGACCGTCAGAGGCCAAGTCCGCACTGTGATTGGCCACCTGCACTTAAAATATCTTTGGTGAAAGTCACCTCCTGGCATTCCCTAACTTCCCTGACGCCTAGCAACAACATAACACAACATGCTAATGTTGTCAGTGTGGTAATGCCCGGCGTAACTCGAAATAGTATACAAAATAAAAATATTCTTTTAAATAGGTATAAACATTGCATTAAAAATAGAACCGTATCAAAACACAATTATGAGTTCACAGTCTGTCCCTTAACCTCCAAGCGTGAGCGTTCAACAACCCTCCAGTCTTCCGCTTTACCAGTCCTCCACCCATTTCCCCTCCAAATCCAGAGTTCGTAGGTGAGGTCTCACTGAGCGGAGCCTTTACTGCGATTTGAGCCCCAAACTGTTGGAGGACAGTGGGTAGGAGTAAGCTTTGCCCAGCACAATGCGGTCTCGGAGCAGTTTAAAAAGGACATAGTAGTTGCAGAAGAGAATAAGGCCCAGAGACAAAGTGTGGTTCCAGCGCTCAGAGCGCAGCAGAGAGTATAACTGGTACACAACCACACTCGACTCGATCCAGAGCAGCAGGTTCAGGATCCGCAATGGCTTGTGAAACAGGAACTGGAGGACCAACAGACAGGAAAAAGATATAGGGTCATGCTAAGATTTGATATACAGCGGTGGACATACAAAATAAACTGTAATAATAATAATGATAAAATGTAATGCAATATAGGATTTATACAGGCAGCCCCTGTACCCGGTCTCTGTGACAGACATGGTGGATTAAGCTACAGAGGCAGAGCTGTGGCTCTGAGCTCTTCTCTGAAATAACTATTCAGTCATTGATGTAATCAACTCAGACCTACTGACTTTAAGTCGTAATTACTTAATTAAAAAAACTTTGACACTAGAGCTATATATCATCTCTACAACTGAGCAAACGCAATCTGTTTATGAGGACCATGAGATGCAGCTACAAGATCCAGAAAAAACCCCATGAGAAGACCTTGTTTTAAGACTTTTGTGGCATTTTAATCCTTTTCTGTAGATAGTCGAGTGATAACAGAAAACTCAGAGAGAAAAGCGAACTGGAATAATTAAATGTCATTTCCTCATGTCAAGGAAAGACAAAGAGCTTTTCAAAAATGTGCATCTTAATTTTAGAAAAAAATAACTCAAGGTTGAGTTTCGCTTCTACTTCTTTTTATTAACTCCATTTCACATCTTAACGGTCTAAACACATCCTAACAACTGAACAGCACCAATGCCTCCCTTTCTCTCCTTTCCCTCTTATATCCCACTCCCCCATTTCCCCACTTATTACTCTGACTATTCCTCCTGTCTCATCTCATCTCATCTCATCTCATCGTGTCTCTCCCCTGGACCCAATTGGTCTGCAAGTTTCCTAGGCCACTAAACCAGTGCCATAAAGACTAAAAAAGCTGCGCTGGTTAAAATAGAAACAGTCTGTGAAAATTTAATAATTCTCAATAATTTATAGGTTATAAGTCGAAATAGTCTCTGAGTCTGCAGTTGGACCATGGTCCGCCTACAAGTGACATTGGTACTAAATGATGTTATAAAAGTCGCTAAAGCTGGATTTATACTTGACGGGGCCATAACAGTGATATCACTAAAAAAATATTAAGTGCATGTAACGCACATGATTGCGCCATATCATGCTTTACTATACTCCTACCTACCACTTCTACCAACATCACTCCTACCTACCACTTCTACCAACATCAGGAACTTTTAGAGGCTTTGGTGTAACGTCACAGCCTACACATGTAGACATGACGGGTACGGCCCAGAGCCTTAACACAGAGGTATAGATCCAGCTGAACTCATTACATAAGTAGCTGTGTGATAAAAGTATCATTTCTGCTGACGTTATTATGGGTGGTGTTTTTTTCAGTTTTAATGGGCTGCAGGGAACCAACTCTACAGATGTGCAGTTTATGCTATTGTTGTATTATATTGTAAAGGTGTTATTATTTTGTCCACCCTAAAGCTAGTGAATAATTTACAGGTTACATCCATTGTCACTATGATACAAAGGTACAGATACTCACATAAAACCTTGCATGGGAAACATCAGAGGGAAGAGCGACATTAGAGGGTCCGACTGCCTTATACAGGCATCGACTGTGTCGTACCAACACCCCCTGAGGCCAAATAGTGCTTTCTGACCATCTGAAAAACATTAACACCAGTTACACACAAACCATTGACAGAGTCATTTTTGAAACCTCTGGGAGTGTACAAAAGTGTGCACAAGGGGCCACTCACACATGCTGAGGTGCGTTGCTGTACGAGCCGTGCTCCAGTTTCTGCCAGCGGCCCAGGTGGGCTGCCGAGCGATGAAGCAGGTCGCAGTAGCTGGGGGGCAGCAGCTGACTCATCAGCATCACAAATGCATTGATCCACACCATGATCAGATGCTCACATGACCAACGCATGTCATAGTACTGAGTGCTCTATGGAAATACAAGTACCAGAGATTTATAAATTAACCTAAAATTCAGCAACTTGAGAGGTACTGAAGGAATAGTGGAGCACAAAAACTTATGTGTAAAAAAAAGTCAACAATAAAATCTTAAAGGGGAAAAAAAACCACAAGTGACAGATACCAACCTTGACAAAGCAGAGAGGCAGGAAGGCTACATAGTAAGCACTGAACAGCGAGTTGAATAGCACTTCCTTGATTCGACGGTTGAAGTCGCTCTTCAGCTCCTCCACCTCGGCTCGAATCAACTCCGGCGTGTGTGAGTGTGTGTGTGGTGGGCAGGTGTGAGTGGGCATGTGCGGGGGGCTGGAGAACTGCTCTCTGAGGTTCTCTCGTAACAGGAAGAGAAAGTCACGTGGTCTAAAGAACGGGGTCTCTGTTAGGTCAGTCTGCTGGTGGTCGGCTGGGTAATCGCAGTCAGCCGGAGCCGTTTGGCTTTTGCCTCCCTCCTGATGGAAACAGCAGAGCGGGACGTACACACCAAATCTGGCATTGAGGGAAGGAGGGCGGTGAGTGAACGAAGACACAAGAACAGCGAGTTTTAAATGATGGCAGGATGAGAGGGAGATGTATGATGTGAAAATATAAATAATGCATATTTAAAATGGAGATTTTAAGGGAAGGTAGGTCCACAAATACCTTTAGTTTTGTTTTTAAAAACGCTCCTAGCAATGTCATGGTTTGTGCATGAAAGTAACATTTTGCATCTGATTGACCTTTCTGTCACATACACTTATTCAGCAAAGATAAGCTGATATGACAATTGCGATGATCAGAGAATTGTGGTTCCTGCGCATCAAGACGGTGGCAAACTAGATTTCAACCAGTCGCCACCTTGGCTCCACCCACTCCAATACCTGTGAGTGTGTGCAGGTGAGTTAAAATCTCACTATGCTTACACCCACACCTTTACAATGTCAGGATCGAGAGCAGCGTCAGATATTTTCTGTAATTCTTCAAATCTGACAATCCCACATTCACACTCGCTGCACAGAGCGGAGTGTACTGAGGTGAGAAAGTATGTGGTGTTTGAACTTGTGGGGTAAAGTCCCAGTTTGTAGTACAATACTACGAATGCCTCAGAGAAAGATTGCAGTTGCACAGCATTATCACCATTTGTATGATTCATTGCATCTTGCCCCTCTCTATGATAGCAAACCTTTTGTGTTGCCTGTAAGTGCGGCCATTTAGAACAGGTATAACCACATTTGCTTTGAGACATGATCAGATGACAGCTTGGTCAAGCATATCCTATCCTGAGGGTTGGGGTTTTGGGGGTGGGAGGGTTAAAGACTCACGGGTATCCTAGGAAGAGGAGGTTGAGCACAGAGTGGTTCTTGCAGAGGTTGACCAGTGTCCAGCACAGCACCCAGCCACACATGGTCAGCAGGCAGAGCCGAGCTGCGATGAGAACCACATAGCGGAGCAGTGATCCGCCGCTGCTCTGAGACACCTGGACGAGACACACAACACAATAAGAAGACAATAAGTCACAGATATCAGAGAAACTGTGGCACCAATGCTGCCATCATCAGGGGCTCAGCTCCCACAGGGGCTATGTGTACTAAAAATCTGTTAGCTGTTTGTATATACAGGTCTGTGTGTTTACCTCTGAAACTATAGTCCAAACTAGCCTCCTGGCCAACATGACTGTGATGAAGATAGCCAGGTGGTAGTCTATTAGATGAAAGTTCTGTAGGAGAATTGCACAGAGAAGAAAAAGGCTAGAATCAGTTTTTCATTATGACATTTTTGAATTGTACTATTTCACCACAATATTTGATCGACAACAACATATATGCCGTACATTACACAACATGTGAAGCCAACACAAGAAGACTTCAGGCCAAAAATGAGGCAAATAGCAATAAATAAAAAATATAAATAATTACAAATACAAATCAAACAGTGGGTAAAAAATAACAGATGATTAAAACAAATAAGGAATATCTAAATGAGCAGTTAAATAGGTAAATAAATAAATAAGAAAATGAAGATACAAATCCAGTGCGTCCACATTTTAAAGAAGGTTAAAAATGCCAGGCAGCATAAGTTTTCTGAGTTGATCCCTTTATCCCCTTAATCTGCTCTAGTCTTACTTTAGAGAGTGAAGCCAATGTACAGTTTTGAACTGAACTTTTGCATGTTCAAGGCAGGTAGATGACGAGTAGATTATAAATATATGAATTATTTTTTCCCCACAACTCATGAAATTTTGTAAGTATTTGTAATGTATTTATCTGATAAGCAACTTATAGATGATACGTCTTTTTGCATCTGGGTCACATTTAAGGATGGAGTCTGAATACGATGGGGAAGGACACAAGAGGAAGAAGTCAGTTACAGGGAATAGTTTCTGACCTGTGGATTCCCATAACAATGTGCTCTAAGAATATAGAATTTTTGCATCAGCTGTTCAAAAGAACCAAAATTCATGTTAATATTATGATCATACAATGATATGGTCCACGATTTATTATGCACAATATCTGATTAGGCCTGAAACTGCCCAATAAAAATCTGTTATATTATGTTATGGACTCATCCAGTGGCTTTCTATAAAACTTTTAAACTTTTTGGTCTTTACCCTTTTCTTTATCAAAAGAAAAGGGTAAAGGGTAAAGTTGTGTTTCCCATTGCACAAGACACAAAGACACTTTTTATCATAGTTTATAGTACACAAGGGCTCCACCACAGCACTGTTTCCAAAAATTCAAACTAAAGAGAAAAATGAAAGTAAAGTGAAAAAATAAGCTACTGATTACTCAGCAGTAACTTTCAAGTTGCTAGAAACATCAGAGCTGATGGCGTGTGTTAAGTGTGTGTGCTCTTACAAGCGAGGTAGAGGCAGCAGGGTGGCTATATGGGTACCACCACACCGTCCTGTAGATGTTGATGTACTGGACAAACAAGGCCACCAGCAAATAAAGGAAGAGCAGGAACTCAAACAGCAGGCTGCTGTCCAAGGGCAGCTGAGGGATCCTCGAGTGGCGGACTGGCTCCGGAGTAATGAGGGCCGAGAGAGGCGGGGCTGACAGACCCACCGAGTTACTGCTCCTGAAAGCAGACACACAAAAGATACAAACACTCAGACATATCTAGGATACATATCTTTGTGTCATATCACGCCTGCTGCAAGTTGTGTGGAATAAAACCTACAGAAACATTTGCACAATAAGGTTCCAGCTTAGTTAAGAGTTTATCATGGTTCATTAATATTCACATAGAAATACAACTACTGCAACTTGTGCAAGCACTGCATCTCCATGAGGTTGGCACCTCATGTGATCAGCATATGAATTTAACTATTTCAATTTGTGTATGCACAGAAAAATGTTTGTGCACATTTGTGCAAACAAAACAACAACCTGTGCAACATTATTTCTCCAGTTAGTGTAATGCTCATTATTTGAGCAGAAATCCACAAATGTTTGCTCTGCTTGCACAAATGTGTACAGTGTGCAAATGAATAGGACATCACTTTGGAGTTATTTGGATGTGAATGGGCTACTGAAGAAAAATCCTGAGGCAAACACTGAAAATGTTCATGTTTTTTTTTTTTTTTTAAAGATGTGGCTTAGAGGAGAGGAGTTGTTAGAATTAAACCTGTGCCTGAAGATTATTTTCATTATTGAGTCATCTCCTGATTATTTTTGTAAATTTCAGTCTGCACCAAGCTCTGCACAACAGGGACTGACGAGCAACAATCCCCCCAAAGGGAAGGTAGACTCAGAGACTCCAGGTTGATGCTGGGCTGAAGAAATAGCTTTTAAAATAATAAATGAACAGCATGAGCATTATGACAGCAGGCCCACAGCAAAGGAGTGAGCAGAGCACTGACAGCTTAAGTGAAATGTCATGACTAAAAGGGCAGGTTATCTACCTGTTGAAGGGACAAAAGTATGCAGCAGACTTGAGATGGCTGCTTGACCTAACTCACAGACTACGCTCCATTTTAATTCATTCATTCATTTAGTCAATGAAATGTCAAAAAATAGTGAAAACTTTCCATCATAGTTTCCCAGAATCCAAAGTATCACCTTCAATTGTAATGTTTTGTCCAACCACCAGAATGGTGACTGAAATTGATAAATATAAATATAATGAAAAAATAAATATAGCTGATTTTTTTTTTTTTGATCAACCAATAAATCAATCAATTAATTGCCTTTTTTTCTCTCACTAGTTAAAGTTACCAATAAACAGTTAAGTGTATGATCTAAGACTAGAGTAAATTAAAACTGGGCATATACTGTGCAATTTTATTGATATGTACATTGTGTTAACTCACACTACAAATTTTAATCAGCTTTTTGGCATGGCCACAACCTGCAACCTCTATGCTCACAGCTCATGGATCAACTGACTGCCCACTACGTGGAGCTCACACTGAACGTAAGCACAAACTTCAGTCAGTTTTATGTATTGGTAATTCCAGTAATGTTTAATCAAAGATGGCCGTGTCAAAAGAGAGAATGGCAGCATTACTTTGTGCAATGCTCCTATGAAACCGAAAGTAACAAGGAAATAGAAAGTATGATATGAAACCGCTGGACGATGACAAATGGTGTTTGTTCTGCAGCAAAGTTCAGTTTTATATCACAGGAGCTTTAATAAAAACAGTTTTGACAACCACACATTGCCACATGGCAAATTAAAATATTTAATAATCAATTAAAAAGGGTCACACTGCATTAACATTAGGAGTTACATACAACTGTATATGATTATTTCAAGCCACAGCAGCAAAATCCCCATGAAGCTATAACAACAAACAGCAGTGGCCCATGATATTTTGAGTAATACAAAAAATGTTCCGGCAACCCTCCTGTTTCAGGTGTGTGTGAGGATGTGCACATACCTGTTCCTGAGGCCTGTACCATTGCCGAGGTTGCCTCCAACCAGAGTCTGCAGGGACGGCAGAGCAGAGCGACTTAGCTGCTGTCTGCTGGGGCCCCTGCGACCTCCTGGCATCGTCGCCAGTTACCGTGGCAACCACGGATGCCGCCCACCAACCAACAGCTGCTGGGACTCCTCCCCTTCCCCTCAATGAGCCACCATGTACAAACAGTCCACTGTGGAGGAAACCAACAAAGATGTGAGTTACAACAAGAAAAGTAAACCGATGATTTAAAAAAAACAAAAAAAAACAAAGAAAAACATTACTAAACACACCTGAGGCTCAATCAACATTTACAATGCCACAGCACCCTCGAGCCAATTTAAGTACAATTAGAGTACATATCTGTTCTAACCAATAGGGCTGCAACTAACAGTTATTTTCATTATTAATTTCTCTGTCCATTATTTTCTCAATGAATCATTTGGTAAAATGTCCAAAATGAGTGAACTGGGTTACAAATCTGCTGAAATACCAAACATATTCTACTTTTACTACTATTGATACCAGATAAAGCCAAACAGATCTTTACTACTGTTGAATTAAAAGTATCCAGGAGAGTTGGAGGAGTGTCCTTAAAAAAAGCAACACCTGTGAAATAATCGTGCTACATCTGATTGTTTTGGTTCTTAATCTGTTTGTTTTTGTCAGCATTGAAAATCTGCCAAACATTGAAACATACAAATACATTCACGTTCATTCATTCACAGAGGTTGAAAGAAGCAAAGAGCAAAAACCCCAAAACGTTTGTCTGTGTGGCACTGCTTTGTTCTTTCCTTATCCAACCTACTTCAGGTTAAACACATGACATGTTATCATGACATGTCCCATGTCAGCTCCACATGTCAGCCTTTGGACACCTGCCAGTAATTATTTAGCAGGTGTGCAGCCATGGTGCTGTTGAACTATTTGCCTTCATGAAGGCAGGCTTTGTTGCAGAACTCTTGAATTAAAAGTGCATTAGTTTTAGCTAGATGTAGCTAATAAAGTGTTCACAAACTGACTCAAAGTAATTAACCATCCCCTGAAGGATTCACTTCATAGAAATAGTTCTGCTACCAGATCAGAGAACCATCCCAAAGCCTTCCCGGTGGCAACACTCCTGGCTACTGTCAAACCACTGCTTAACAATGCAAATAGAGCCACAACCAATCTACACCTGCCCAGAGTATCAGACCTGTTAATATATGCTGTCTGCCTGCTTAAGCTCACATTGGGAAACAATATCCTGGAGGAGTTTGCAGAGGCAATTACAAGTTCTCATTGTGTGTCTACATGAAATGACTGGCAAGGAGTATATTGTCACTCATTCGTTCAGTACCTGTATAATTTATAAATGCTGATAACAGGCCTTTGTGACAGCACACATTTTAACTTGTCACATCAGGAAAAGTATATGTGTAACTAATAACATTGACAATGACTCATCTCCATTTTTGGTATGTCAGTGAGCCAGCAAGAACAATACTGTGGCACAACTGAATGGAATGCAGCCATTAAATATGTTGTTATTAATTACAAATGGGCCTCTCCAATTAACAGTTGTCACAAAGGTCAATTAGTTCTCACTCTGTGTCACTCTGAAAATGTTTGAACAGACCACTTTCACACCCACACCCACGTAAAAACAAATCATCCAGATGTGGGAGGATATAAATAATCCATTGCAGAAGATGTTGACCTGCTTTGTGATTATTTGTCAGCACTTCTGCATCACTTTCTTGTTTTCTTTCATGTCAATGCACTGTGTAGTCCTACAAAACTCTTTGGTTGTTTTGAATAATTTGACTTGACTGTTTCATTCAAAGTTTTAAGTTTACACTTTACATTTTAGGATGCAATTAACAATTGTTGTCATTAACAAGTAATGTTTTTAGCAGGTAAGCAATGAATAGTTAAGTCTTTGAAATGTATTATTATGCTAAATGCCATATTACAAATCTCTTCTGAATTCCTGAAGTCACATCTTCAAATGTCTTGTTTTGTCCAAACAATAGTACAAAACATTGTACACAGTACACACAGTAAAAAAAAAAAAACAGAAAAAGCAGAAAATCCTCATATTTTCTAACCAGCTAATCTTTGGGATTTGACATATTCTTTAACAAAATTGTTAATTAATTTTTGAACAACTGACAATGAATTAATCAACTAACCATTTCAACACTATTGTGTTCAAAAGGAGCACATAAGGAATAAAAATTGAATAATGGACTAGTCAATCAACAGAAAATTAATCAGCATCTATTCTGATCATCAATTTATTGTTTACTTCATTTATTCTGCAAAAATGAGAAATATTCTCTTGTTCCCACTTCGCAAATGTGAAAGATTTGGTGCCTTCGTCTGTTTCGCTGTTGTTTAGGTTTTGGACTTGGTCAGACAAAACAATATGTGTTGACAACACCTTGGGTTTAAGTAATGTATGATGAGCATTTTTTCACAATTTATAGACCAGATAATTACTCAATTAATCAAGAAAATACTATGAAGATGATCATTAGATGCAACCCTATTATGTTTAACACTTTAGTAGTACTTCATTAAAACTGTAAATGAATCATTGTGAGTGAAACGTATCACATCATTTATGTAAGCACACCTTTTGGACATTGATATGACATGGCAGGATGATTTACTGCACAGTCGGATGTTTTGAAATATACAAAATCCCTGTTGCAGACTGCTACATCATTTTGGTAATTGATTAATCATTTAAGTACATTTTCAAACAAAAATGCCAAAAGTTCTCTGGTTCCAGCTTCTCAATTGTGAGCGTTTTCTGCTGTTCCTTGTCTTATGTGATAGGAAACGGAATATTTTTGGACGGTTGGCAGGACAAAACTAGACATCCTAAACTCAGGGAAAATGATGGACATTTTTCATTACTTCCTGACACTTTTATCATTGTAAAACAGTTGAATTGCTGATGTTCTACACACACTTGACTTAATGTTCTAGAAAAAATTAAAGCTGCAACAATTAGGCAATTAATTAATTAGTCAAATGACAGAAGATTTTGATAAACTGTTTTGATAATCAAATAACTGTTTCAGTCATGTAAATACAATACGTTTTTTAAATGTTTAAATTTATAGCTTCTCAAATATAAGGATTTCATGATTTTTTTTGTGACAGGTACTGTACTGAATTTTAAAAAAAAAAAAAACATTGGCAGGTTAATTGATAATGATAATGAAAATGACTGTTAGTTACAGCCCTAGAAAATTACTACTCGACTAATTGAGAAAATAATCTGGAAATTAACCTATAATGAAAGTAACTGCTAATTGTTGAACCCACAAAGGCTGAAATGAGCCTAGGTAGGTGTGACTGAACTTCATATTCAACAACTACTGTATAATTTTTTCTTATCACTATTCCTCAGTGGGTAAAAAAGTAGTCCCGCCCCCACTTCATCAGCCAGTGACAAACTCCTGAAATGAAAAACAAACTGCAGCCTGATGACATACTACGTTAAAACTTACTGATGTGGCTTATGAAACACGATGGAGATAACACAGCCCACTCTGCAGGATAGGGATGCCGCGGTCACGTTTTTGTGCCCCCGATACTGATCATCTATGAGTGAGATCAGCCGATATCGATCATTTTTGACATGCATTGCAGATGGTGTGCATTATTCAATCTGACACGCTTTGTAAAAGTTCCACACGGCCGACATGTTGTTTTGTTTTGGTGGTCTGTTGCACGACCACACATTGAACAGAGGCGGGACTATGCTACACAGGACACAGTGCTTCTCTCAGTGGCAGACACCAGAGTATTAACCACAGGTGATCGGTTTTAAGGTGATCCATGAGCATTAATTCCGATCTACCGATCACGTATTTTTACTAAAAATCCGCCAACATGACGGACGGTGGATAAATCGTGGCATCCCAACTACAGGCAGTGTGTATTCTAATAATAAACAATATTAAAGGTGAATGTTCAACAGGAAACAGCCGTTCACACACACACACACACACACACACACGGGACCAACACTACAGCTGCAAGTCAAAAGTGAAAACAGGAACTGTGAGCTAGAGAAATTAACTACAACGGAGGGATTGCAGGGCGGTATTTTGTAATTTTGTGGAAGTGCAACACTTTTCTTGTTTTTTTTTTTTTTTTTTTTTTTAAACACAAACTTTTCCCGCTGGAATAAGGAAAGAAAAGTGACCAAGAAGCGGGAGAAAGTCGTGTGGAAATTATGTGTTTGTTGTGACTGTGCAGACTTTTTCTCTGAGGAACACTTTGTTAGGTGGTGTGTGTGTTTGTTTGTTTTTGGGGGGGTTTTTTGTTGGGTTTTTTTGCAGACTTGCTAAGACATGCAGTAAAGCTCATGACATCAGGTAGCGCTGTCATTTTGTACATGGCGGAAACTTGGAAACACACTTTAACAGAGACAAAGGTGTAAGCTTGTAGCGGGCTGATAGCTCTCAAAAACAAACCTAGATAGTTTTAAAATCTTCGTAAATCCTCTGGTACTCACACAACATCGATAACACACGGAGGAGTGAGCTGGACCAGGATGCATCAGTCAGTTGTGAGACGAGTCCGCACAGCGCCGGGCATTTCTCCGCCTCACAGCTTCAGTATCCCCGGCTTCACTGGTGTGGAGACGAGCTACGACCGCACCGGCGGTACTGGAGGGTGGCGTTGTCCCGGGCTGAGAGCATAAAACGGGTTTAAAAGTTACCCCCGGGCTGGAGGAGCAACAGTGTCAACGCGTTGCACAGAGACCGACGTGGCAAACCCGAACCTCCTCTCCTAGAGACGTCATCAGCGCGCGACCTAAATGAGACTGCACAGTCGCAGTTTGACTAAACAAACGGCTGATCTGGAGTCAGTGCTACTGTCACCAACTTTCATCAATGATTTTATTATTGATTATATTAACTATTAATGACCTTTATTATTATCATATTCACGTTTTTTTATTAAATATGTTATTATTGATTATATTGATTATTAATTACATGTATTGATGAACATTTTCATTACTTTATCAATTATTTTATAATTGGATATATTAACGACCTTTGACTTAAAAGTGCTTTTTTTCATTATTGATTACACTTATTGATGATTTGATTATTTAGTATATTAATAATTAATTACCTTTATTAATTATCATATTAATAACTTATTATTGGTTATATTATTATTGATTGCTTTATTATTGATCATATTAATTACTTTATTAATAACTTGATTATTGTTCATATTAGTAAACAATTTTATAAATTTTGCAAATTGGAGGCAAAGCTAGATCACAAAGCAAAGCAGGCAACTGCCCCAGGGCCTCCAAACAAAAGCCCCAGTTCACTATATATCAACTGGTTGTACTGTTTATGAAACTTTCACATTGGCATTATCCAAATACCGATAAGCACTAAACTAGAAACTAATAACACCAACTAAATAAAAAACAACTGAGTAATGCACTAATCAATTGAGCTGTGTGACTGTGTAGCTTCTGGGTGTCTGAGGAAATACTGACACTGTCATATATAGTGGAGGTCAGTTGGTGCCAGAGAAAAAAAATTTTCACGTAAATGTTTCATTGTAGCGTGCAGTATTTTGTTTATATTCTGATGTGTGACAGGTTTAGTCAAATGTTAATGGCTGCCTACTTTTGAGTCTAAGCTAAAGCACATACTATTGTTTAGCTAGTTTTTAGATGGAATGTCAATATATTAAAAAACATATATTGAGGTTGGTGATATAAATGGAGAAATACCATCAATTTCTGAATAAAAAAAAAAAACTTTTACCTCCAGCCTTGGCTTAAAACTTCAAAAAATATTAAATCCTGTATACCTTGGATGGCTTTGTTCGGCTTGATGTTATATAACTTTGTCATGCAACTGACAACACAGGATAAATAGTTATGACAGTGTTTGGAAAAATGTAAGACTTTTAAAAGGGTCAAAGTTCAGATAGCAATAAGAACATTTAAACTGTTTTTTTATACCCAAAAGGTAAAAGGTTTATTTTCAACATTATTAATTAACACAAACTCAAACTGACTGTAAAAAAAAAAAAAAAAAAATCCTTAAAAATATCAATGGATGAGGGGTGGGGGAGCGGTTACGTTTCCAAAACTGTTCACAAAATATCATTGCATTTTCACATTGTGCTAACAGCTGTAATTTAAAAAGAAAAAAAAAAACTTTTTGGGCCTCTTACAGTGTTGACATAACTTCAATTCACTCATCAACATCATGTAAAATAATTTACATGCAGTTTAAAGTGTAAATACATCATTCATCTTATGTACAAACCACTTAATCATTATCTGGACAGATGCTAATGGAACACACCTTTTCCTTCAAAGCATTAGTAAAACAATGCATTACAGTCACTTCAGGACAAACAGAAGATATGAGACATAACTATTTACAAAAACGATAAAAACTAACTTCAGCATTCACAATAAGCTATTCATATTTATGTGGGTTTATACAGCTTCATTGTAACAAGTGTAATTTATTTGTTTCCCTGAGCGTCATTGGTGATTGCTTCATGGCTTTATCAACGTAAGAATTAACTGTGTTACGGCCAAACAGAGTTTCAATAGGAGAAACATCAACTCTAAAGCAGCATGTAGAAATAATCTAACGGGAGGATTTTAGACTAAATCGCCTCAGAATATTTTCATTATACTGATGAAACAGCAGAGGGAGACATTATCCCAAAAATCTGTTCAGCAATCCCAGTAAAGACTTGCTGAGTTTTCTTAAATCATAATACCAAAAAAAAAAGAAAAGGTACCGAATAGGTTTCCTTATTGACACCAAACAGTTGCTTAACCACCCGTACACTCTGAGGAGGATTATTCCAAATTTCTGCATCTCACATTGTATGAACCCCACTGCCAGCTTTTCACTTATCAAAAGGTAATAAAAGAGTTGGTATATGATTCAATTTAATACATAAAAATGGTGGCATTTAAAAGTTTACCAGTAGCCAGACAACATGGCTCCCAGTTCTAGTGAGGTGTGCATGTTCTTTGAAACAGGTCACAGGGCGTTTCTCAGCTGGAGGGTTCAGATGATGATGCTGGTGCCACTGCGAGAACTCTTGTCCTGAGAGAGACACACTAACTTTAGATTCACGTCACTGGCATCGGCATAACAAAGAATTTTTTTTAATAATGACTGTGTATTTGTGCATCTGCGTTGATATGAGTGCATTAGTGTAGTTGCACGAGCAACTAAAGCAGCGAGTGTCTTACAGTGTAGCGTTTCTTTCCAGGTTCGTACTCGGTGTAGCTGGGGGGTTGGTCAACCCAGCCTCCACCTCCTCTCCTCTCTCCTCCTCCTCCTCTCCTGCTGCTACCCTCATCAATCGAGCTCCAGGACCCTCGTCTCTGGCGGTGTGATGAAGGGGGCGAGTAGTTTCCTCTGGACCTGGTGTCGAACAGGTCATCCCTGGAACGGGAGCGGGGGCGGTCCATGCCTCCTCGTGCCCCACTGTGACTCTGCCCATCCAGTAAGTCCTGGCTGTAGCTCCGAGGAATACCTCTTGATCTAGTAGGTGAGGGGTAACGCCTTCCCGCTGCTCCTCGCTCGTCACGTCGGCCGAAGCCACTGCGGCTGCTCTCACTGGAGCTCGGGGGGCGAGTCCTGGGTGCAGGGGGCGGCATTCTACCTGGCTGGTGCTCCTTTAATGCTTGAAGTGTGATGATGTGACGATCTGTTGGGCCATCATCAAGGGCTGAGATCATGCTGGGAGGACCGGGGGAAAATGGGACGGGGACAGGCATGTGCTGGGGAGGAGGTGGGACCTGCTGCATGTGGTGATGCGGAGGTGGCTGGGACTGATGGGAAGAACAGACCAGAAGAAGAAAAAATAAACAAAAAATGAAAATCACCACTCATACACCTCAATTTGATACAACAGTAACAGTATATACTGTAAACATCCTAGAACTTAATACAGATTACTGAAATAAAAACATTAACTGTTACACAAAAATGAATTGGACAGTCTTAAAAAGACTCAGAATTTACACAATTAAACAACTAATAATGTGACCCACCCCTCCTCCAAAGCAATAGATAAAAAAGACAAAAAACAGATACTAAGATACTACAATGAAGTACATGGGAATGGCAGCAGCAAGTGTTTACATATATACAGAAGACAACAACAGTATGCAGAATACTCTGATGCTCTCCTGTTTACTCTAACAGATTTCGACACGGGCAGGTACATACCTGTAGCAGAGGACTGGTCATGTCCATCCCCCTCACCTGGCTCTCGAGGTAATCGAGCATGTGATTGGTGTTGGCAGGGGCGTGGTTGCCATGGACGCTGGGAGGGGGCATGCTGTAAGATGAAGACTGAGGGGGAGGCAGGGGCATTGGCTTCATAGGGATGCTCTTCCCTGAAACAGATCCTGGAGAGGCAAAAACATTCATAAAATAAAGTTAGATGATGCAATGTTGGAGACATATGTGGATGAATACCCACCTAAATTCTAAGGGTGTTAAAGCCACAATGTGGTCATTTACTTGCTGCGTTACACGGGCATACCTGAGTAGAGCAGCGGGTTCATCTGGGAGGAAGCGTGACTCATTGGTCCATATACTGGCTGTCCTCCTATCCAGGGAGCCATGGCCCTCTGAGCCTCCTTCATCATACGATGCTGCATCACCACTGAAAGACGAGGACAGCACATTCTCTAATAATTATCAGTACAGGAAGGTTTTCTCTACATATACAGGCTCTTTGTCTGCACTGTGGATGATCTGTCTCAAGGACTTGCATATTTCAAGAGACAATAAACACTAAACTCTCAGACTGATTTCCTACCTACCAGAACAGTATGAAAACCAACTTGTACCAGCAGGGTTGAGATGCACATTTACATGTCATTTATGTTTTAAATTATATTATCAATGCATAGGGTTGTAGCTGGGAGCAGAAAGTGCTTGTGAGAAACCCCAACATTCAACATTGGAGAGTCATGTCGACTGCTGAGCAGCAACTCTAAAAGCATTATATTCACAGGCTCTGCTGTCAGAAACACCTGAAAGATAAACAATAAGCCAACCAGGACATCATAAAACAGACGAAAGTGAATTTGGTTGTTTTGGTTTTGTTTTGTTTTTTATTTAAAGGACTTTTTTTTCCAAGTCTGTCTATAAATGACATTCACAGACCCATATGTGCATTGAGAGAGTTATTTTTTTGGTCCCCCCTCTCCATACTGTCTATGAATAGATGTCTTCCTCATTTGATATGATATGGGGGACAAACTCTACAGTCTCTGTACTGTGTAAAAATACATTCTAAAGTTTAGCTGAAACTAAACTTGACTAACTCAGCAGTCTGAGTTAGACAAATCAACTGGGTGTCCTCTAAACTTACAGTGTTTTAATGCAAAATTCCCCTTTTCTCAGACAGTGTCTCTGTCTTTCTTGTCCAGTGGAGCAATAGTAACATGAAGAGGTAATATTGTACTAAAAACACACTTATACCTGGCATTAACATGCGTTTCAGTGATCACAGGTGGACAACTCTGTGCCACACTGATGGACAATGTACTCAACTGACATCCTCTGTCACAGGCTAATTAGTCCCACCAGTTTCATATGGGAACAGTGTTTCCCATACCTTGATTTATTTGTGGCAGCCTGCCAAAGTGTTAACATTGACTGCCATTTGTTTTTACTACTTCAAATAGTTAAAACATTACTTCATTGTATTGCAGAATGAGGACTGTCTGAGACAAAAAAAATGTGAATCTACCCTTTAAAAGCAAGACCAAGATCACCTTATCTGTTTTTTTCACTCCCTTGTTGCCTCATCGTTTGTGTGTCCTCTGTGTATTACTGACAACAATAGCCTGCCCATGTAAATCTTTTTTGCTGCCCATTTGGTTATTGGCGCGTCTTTAAAACATCAACGAGCTGTCAATCTCTCTTCTACCTTTTTCAGGACAGCAGCATTGCTGTGGGCAGCAGGGACAGCGCACATAGCAGCAGCATTTCTGAGGGCAGCACTGGCAGCAGCAGATGCCGAAGAGGATAATCAGAAGGATGGCTCCGATGATGATGAGCAACACCGTCAACCAGTCTGAGAGAGGAGAGGAAGAGAGACACTCAGTGTGCTCAAAGAGACAGACATCATGTTAATAGATTTTTATGTATATTCTGATTTTAAAGATACACTCTGATTGTGTTATAGCTCCCAGTCAGACATCAAAAGTAGAAGTTGTGGAAGTTTGGGGGTTACAATAAAATCAGTGAGTGTATGTTTAACAATACTTTTTTTTCTTTTCTTTTTGTTTCTTACGCAAGACGATGAGTTTGACTTCTTTGTCGGAGTCGCCAGTGGTGTCTCCAGCAGCATCCACATTACAGTAGTAAACCCCATTGTCCCACCACATCACCTCAGTGATCACCAGGTCTGCCTCTATACAAACACACAGATACCTCAAATTAAACAGTGGTCAAGGTACCTTTGCAGAAAATGTTAAAAAAAAATCTCTCTTTGCACTGAGATAAAGGAACATCCAGTCATGCTTGTACTGTGACGTGTTGTTCTTCCAACTACAGTGTTGCTGATTAGCATCCCCACACTTTCCACTCACAGGCATGTCACTCTAGAGGTCAGGATGAGGTGTCTTTACTACCTGCTCAAACATTTCTATCTCTATTTATCAATGTGTTATGGGGTTGAAACTAGGCTGAAACTAACAATTATTTTCATTAGCAATTAATCTGTGGATCATTTTCTCAACATTTCTAATTTCTTTGACCAACATTTCAAAACACAAAAACATATTCACTTAACTAAAATAGAGGACTAAGAAAACCACAAGCTACTGGCAATTAAGCAGACACAACCAATGCTTCCTTTGGCATTAAAAAAATACTTAAACAATGTATCATTCATCAAAATTGCTTCTGATTGATTTTCTGTCCATATACTAATCAGTTAATCATTTCAGCTCTATAAAGTATGAATAGGCAAATTAATAGGTGAAGCAAAGAACTCAAAATGAATATAATAAAATGTTGGAGATCTTAACATTTAGTCTCAAGACCAGATGACGGCTTCATCTATTTACAAGCCCGATGCCACCTGTGCTGGATGGGATTTTATAGTTTATGTTTGCATGAACTCACTATTTTGGATAGTGATCCTGCGTTCGCGGTACTCGGGTCCCAGCGTCGGCTCGTTGGATCCTCTCTTCTGGATCACAGTGCGCACTGTCCGCTGACGGTCTGGACAGTCATTCGATGGGTCCTGTCCTAACTGTTGCGCAGACTGGTATGCTGCAAAACCAGAGGCAAAGTTTTTATTAACACAATAAATGACATTTTTCTCTATGATTGGCACCTGTATCTACCCCTTCTTTTCCTACCTGTATGCGTGGTGGGTATAATGATCAAAGCATCTTGATTGCGAAGCATCACACAAAGATCTGGCTGTACGTCTTGACAACTGATTATTCTACTACTGATTATTTTGACCTGACAAATCCTCATATGTTGGATTTTTAGCCTAGCTAGCAGCATGACTTTAGGAATGGTTACGTCAGAGTGCTGGTCCGTAAGTCACTTTGTAGAAATATTTCAGTCTAGACCAGTTATTCGGATTGAAAGTAAGTGTGCTTGTCAACAGATGGGATTACAACTGAGATTACATTTATTGACATTCATGGTCCGCAAACAATATATCCTTCTGACATCTGACCGAGAAGCTCATGTCGTAATTTAAAATTTGCAAATGCTTTGTATTAAGACAAAATACCTGCCAAACTAGTGACATTCTCATCAGCCTCATTTGGAGTTAATTAGTAAATGCTAAAAGACTAATGTAGTGTATTATCCACTTAATTTCCTTATGTTACAACATTCTAAATTGTTGCATGTTCTTCTTCTATGTGTGTCTCATCCTAAAGTTCAAGAAGGGTGCCAACTAAGATGTTGTTGAAGGTTTCCTTGAACTATCCAGTTCAAGTTGAAGTTTAAGAATGTGCCTTAAGGGGTGACAATGTTTATATATCTGTTTTCTGTTGTATATGCTATAAGAGACTCAGGATATGGGGGTCTCTGTTACCAAAAAAGGTAAAAGACCAAAGGTCACATTTCGTATGTAATCAACCATTTGGGTGAAGGCTCCTCTATTGAAAGAAGTGCACATCCCAAAGGAGGGTTGAGACAGATAAATAGAGGGGTTGTGAGACGGTAGAGGAGAGATCTCACATTGGCAGAGATGCTCCAGGATTCGGCATTTTTGACACTGTTTCTTTCTTGTAAATAAACTTCTTTTTGATTTTAAGTAAAGACGTGTCAGCGGTGATCACTTCTTCACATCAGCACCTCAAGATACCACACTAATATGAAAACTAAGATGTGTTAAGTATTCAGCTCAAAGTACCTCTGAGTCTGTGTCTTTTTCAGTAAACCAAACCAAAATCCAGTGCAAATGTCTTCATCATCCATATAAACACATTTAGATCTTAGTTTCACAAAGTCCCTACACTACAATTCAAGGCTTCAAGAGTTTTATTTGTCACACAAGCAACAAAAATGCAGCGTGGCATACTCATGAAGGCTGTGCTTCAAAAAAAAAGACTCAAAAAGACTCAAATTAGACAAAAGAAATTTAAAAATATATAAAAAGTCACACACGTAGGCAAACTATACAATAAAAGTTTGCACACGTGCGACCAAATATTGAGTGCAAAGGACTCATAGAGGACAACGTACTAGATAAGGGTGAGTGCAGTTTATATAGAGGTTCTGATGGCCTAAGGGAGGCAGCTTTTTCTTAGTCTCTCTGTGTTTGGCTTGCGGCTACAGAGGCCTGAAGCTGGAACAGTCTATTGATTATTCAGATGATTTCTTTATTCGCAAATTATTCCTTTGTCATCATAAACCAAGAGTTTATAATTGGCGAGAAGATCTAGATATGAAAGACCACTGTATTGAAATTCAGACTCAGGTCAGGGAGAAGAGTATACCAGCCTCTCTGAGACTTATGATATCCCTTTTCTCTGTATTGTGCTCTCCTTTGGTGTGTGTGTGTATGTGTGTGTGTGTGTGTGTTGTTTCTGACCTGTGGAGTAGTACTCCAGCACAGGGTCTTTGCAGAAGGACTTGTACCTCCAGGTGACCAGAACATCTTGGAGGTTTGCAGAGGTGCTGTAGTCACATCGGAGAATCACTGAGGCAAACAGTAATGTCTTACGGTCCTGCTCAGGGACAATCACCTGAATACACACCGCCACTGTGGAGGGACGACAAACACATGGTTACAGCACTACTTTGTTTATTCGTGCATGTGTGTGTAAGGAACAAATCTAACCCGTGTACTAAAAAGCTACCGGTAGTAACAGTAGCCTTCAGGATGTATTACCAAAAGTCATGGAGGAAGAGTGTTGTAAGAATGAAACAATGTGTGTGAGGGTTTCTGTCAACCAGGGAGTTTATTTTCAAAGTGGCAGAACCAGAAAGACAGGTGACACAGACAAAGGCACGGGAAATTGCTTCCTGTGAAACCACCAACCAAACATTCAAAGGCTGGTGTGAAACCGGCTGAGTTGAACTGCCCATAAATGATGACAGGTCACAGTGACTTTTAAAAATAAACTCTAAGATTTCAAAAACATCCTCACTGGTCCATCTCGTACCAACCTGTAGGAACAGCTTAGTGTGTAGGCCGATTGTGGGAAAAGTACAATAAAGATATGCATCTTTGTGTCACATAAACAAAAACTGTCATGTGACCGATACTTCCAGTTTCCTACTTTTCAATTGGAGTTTTGAAAAACGTTCACTTCATAAACATGTTTAGAGTATACTACTGTTTAAAAAACGAGGCCAATATTAATGAAACGGAAATTACCTTTTAGTAGCGACAACAGGAGGGTCGCGGCAGGTAGTCCCCGCATTATGACAAAACTGGAAAATAAAACGTGGGAAGCAAAACTGATAGATTTATAAATAAATAAAAAGAATAAAAAAGAAGATGGAGAAAAATAAAAATCCCACGCGACAGGCCTGTATTTTAACCTGAACCTAAACACAGGTGTTCATTGTTTCTCCCGGTTCGTTTACCTGAAGAGGACCTCTCCAGTTTAAGCTCGAGACTGCGGCCATCTGTGGCCACACCCCGAAACAACCCGTGACGTTGACAGGTGCAGAAATCCCCTGAAGTGAGAGGCGATGACTGGAAGATGCTGACATCAGGAGGAGGAAAATATAATGTAATTTGTTATAGGCTGTTTAATCATTCTATAAAAGTCTATTTAACTAAATAAAAGCATCACGTTAGTTAGTAAGATAATATTGACATCAAATAAAGTGTTGTTGGGGTAATTTGATTTAAAAAAGACTTTAGACTTATAGCTCAGTTTGAGCTGAAAATCAGTCAATCAAATCAAAATGAACCTGAACTCCAAAGGGTTTCTGTTGTGATGTGTACAGTTTCACAGAGGATTTTTTTTTTTTTAAATGAAAACACATTCCATACATATTTATCATTTTACACACATCCATGTATAGTCATTTTAACGACTTTTTCAACTTTAAAGTTGTCTGAAATGTGTTTTGGGTGTGTGTCAACAGCCATAACAAAAATACAGAGTCATCAGCTTGATTTAATGTATTAAGATACATTTTAATGCAGACATGTAATTATCTTAGAATTATTATAATTTTCATGGGAAATTAAATTGACATTTGGACTTCACCATCCAATTCTCTGGAAACAGAATTGGTAACAGATGATGATTAAAATAACACAAAAATCCTCATTGGAAAATACATTTTGGATTTCATTCCCTTGCTGCTATTAAGACTCAATAGACTATCTGCATTCAATCAACATATAGGTGCAACTCTGAACTAATTCCACTAGATGTCAGCCTAAACGTGTTTCTGTCTGAACTGCAGCTTCATTGTGTGATTTCTTTTAAGTTTGACTCTTGAATTCTCTGCAGTTCAAATTAAACAATCAAGGCACTTTTAAGCACATCCCTCATAAACGCCTGCACCCATCTGCATATGAATGGGACCACTTCTGTGTTGTGATGTGGTCAAGTGCTGAAGTCCTTAAAATTCTCAAAGATTGTTTTCCCTCTAAGTACACCCACTCTGCACCTGCAGCCCCTCACAGTATTTTATTTTCCTGGAAACTTCTGCCAAGTTCCACCCTGTGTTTCCTACTTGTTCTCCCTTGTATCCTGTTCTTCTGCTGCTAAAGCCTCAAAGCAAAAACACAGCTTCATCCACACTCTCTCAGAGACGATTCTAAATCAGTAACATCATTAGTTAGAACAACCTCAAAACTGTCAAATCTTGTGCTGACTGGTGCACAAAACTACCTGACATACAAACCTTTTGGTGATAGTAATATTTCCCCGCTGATGCCTCTGCAAAGCCCAGGGGGGAGTTGCTCAACTACATTCCTGACATACTCTCGAGCTGTGAGTGGTCACCGTCTTAACCGATCCCTCCCATCACAAACATACAGTATATGAGCTCAGATGCACACACAACCTCTCTCTCACACACACTTAAAGCAAGAGAGACCCAAAACAGAGAGTCCTTTTCACCCTGTGAATGTTATAACATCTGTTCTGGTCAGAGAACTCCTGATCTTGTGCTTGGCAGAGCAGGTCATAGTTCACTCTGACATGGTTTGGTTAATCCAACTTCCCCTATAGTGGGGGAAGAATTCAAAACCTGTGATTATTAGAACAAGTGGCAAAATCTCAATGCAAAAATATTTTATTACAGGTAAAAATCCTGTAAAATCCCCTCATGTAAAAGCACGTAATTACTATCAGTAAAAACTGCTTCAAGTATCAAAAGTGAGAGTACTCGTACTCGTTACGTAGAGGAATGACCTCTGTGACTACGATATTATCATATATTATAGTGATTGAGCTTTTATTAAATGTGGATTAATATGTAGGCTGTATTTAACTAATTTTAATGACTTTATATACTGTTGGGCAGTTTAATCTATAAATATGGAAGGTATTTCATAAGTTCATAATATATTTTGTAAGTAAAATCTTCATCTGCAAAGTAACTAGGTCAACTATGTAGTGGAGTCAATACAGAATATCACTCTGAAATATGATGACGCTGAAGTATAAAGTAGAAACACTCAAGTTAAGTGCAGCTGTATCAGAATTGTACTTATTAAAGTATGTTCCACCACTTCCTGTACGTCACAATGTTTTTAACTGAACTTCCTAAAAAAAAAGCTCAAATAAAAACCTGGGCTTCATATTTCTGCTGAGTTTATTTACTGAGAAAATGTGCAGACAAACACACTTGATGCTTCTGTTTTGTTTGCCACTCTGCATCTTGCCATGTTAATAAACAGATACTTTGGACGCTTAATGGACGAGAGTGTTGTAACAAATTCTTTATGTGGATGACGAACAGGGCAGATTTCTGTGGCTGAGCTGGCAGACATGATATGTGAGTTTTAACACAGCTGTGTAGAGAAGACAGGCAGTCTGTGGTAACAACAATGAACAAAGACATGAGTCATACTCAATTATACATTGTCTCCTTTACAGAAAAGTAAAGAGTCATCTCTCTCTCTCTCACACACAATCACACACACACACTCACACAGACACACACACACACACACACACACACACACACACACACAGTTGTCAATATCAGCCAGCAGAGGAAAACTAAACACGCACATTAGACTTTTCTGAAGACAAGCCTTCCCACCATGGAGGCAGGAATAAAGAAATACTGTACGGTGTTATGTTAGGGCAGAAGAAGTAATACAATTGATAGATGTAGATGTCCAAAAATCAGTAGGGTAATGTGTGTTTTGTACACGTGTGTGTGGCTGTTAGATAACACAAGAAGGTGTTGGTTTAGCTGTTGACTCAGCAGTGATAAGAAAAAGGTTGAATTACAGTAATCAAATCAAAGACACTTCATCTTATGTACACAGTCGCAGTGGAGTGCTTACACAAACATTATCATTTACAAATTACAACAATCATGTCACACCTCACACATAAATAGGTCGAGTTTATATAGAAAAATGTGTTCATACTGCAGTACAAACATGTTTTCCAGCCAAGCAGCAGTTCAATACTTTAAATGTTTATAAAAAATACAAATTTTTAATCAGGTTTTAGGTTTTAAAACAGTTACTTTGTACAAACTCTAATATGTTTTAATAGGAGATGATAAGCTCCACTGAAATAACAGGGCCAAGGTAAAGTAATGTTACTGCTTCATGAATAGGAACCTTAACGTAGAAGTAACTAAACCTCCGCTGCAAATAGTGTAACGAATATGGATGTTGGTCAGTGGGCAGTTAGCAGAATTAGTCAATACCCTTATTAGTTTAGTATTTTGTCAATCAGCTTGCTGGGTTTGGCTTGGGTATTGTCATGACTTTCAAAATTACAACCCATAACATCTTAAACAACATCTCAAACTGACTCTGACTGGCACTACTGCAGTTTAGGTGCAGATTATTTGCCCTCTACAGAGCTGTTTTCCATCTTATGTTGCTTTAAACACTTGATTTCCAGACTTCTTTTTTTCATTTATAATTGCTGCTACATGGTATTAAACCTCATATAACCCAGCTCATGTGCATGTACTGCATGACTAAGTTACTTGTAACAGTATTGATTGATTTTTTTTGTTACATGTGCACAAGCAGAACAAGCTGTAAACACAACTTGAGATAACATCTTCTATTACCTTATCAATATTTTATGGCAAATGCATTAGCAAACACTTGCTTATTTACACATCCAGCTGACATGGAGCGACATTAGAGGTTAATTAATACATTATCAATATAAAAATATTGGTTGAAACTGCGGTATATAACTTTTTCTAATATCCTCTAATCTTAATAGAGCTGGGAGATGCAAATGAAGGAGGAGCGGAGTGGTTTACTCTTGAGTCTCATGCTAGCGCTAGCTTGAATTCCAGAATTTACATATTGTGGCTTTAATGCAGCTTTAAGAGTTACTGTCCTTTTCCATGAGGCGTTCGTGTTATTATGTCCACCCGCTCTGTGGATACACATCATATCAACATTTGGTATTGTTGGTTACTACATCCAGTTTAACATCAAAGTCTCCTGGTTAAAACTGTGAATTAGATGCTTTAGTCCCTGAATATGTGACTGAATGGCACAGTGCGTGTATTGTCATACAACTGAAGCTACATTATGTCCTTTATAATAATGGTGTTTTCATTTACCATCTATTCTGCAACTGAGCTTTCTAAATGCAGATATCTCATCAAATGGAAATGAATGCACTCATTGTGCTAGAAGCGTAAAGTAAGTCCCTCCGCTTCAGAGGCTTTTATAAAGGGAAGAGGGGAGACTAACAGTGTCCTGCTCAGAGGGACATTCCAGGTCATACACCCAGCCCACATCAGTTCAGTGTTAGTCCAGCTGAGATATGTATGAGGCAGTCCGTGACAGAAACTGAATGGTGGTGACTTCATCACTCAGCGACGTCACAGACAGAAAGCCCCAGTAACAGTCTCGATAGTGAAAGTGTATCTGTTGTTCATTCCTTCACTCATTGGTCCTGATTCAGCTTTCCACGCTCAAAGTCAATTCCGTCATCTCTTATCAGCTGATGTGCGTAGAGTTTCGTGGCCGCATGCTCAGTCTGCTCGAAGAGTTCAGTCTCTGCGGCTTTCAGTCGATCAGACGATGAGGGAGTCTCGGCTGAGCAGAGTGCTCTGGTGAGGATAAAATAATGGATGGGTGATCAAAACAACAGCAGAGAGTTTGCACAAAAATATTAAAGCAAACTGTATTCAGTGAAGTGAGACAGGATAGAGGCAATGGACATTAGCCAAACAGGGTTATTATAGTGAGGTAGGACCTGGGACAAACTGAATTTCAACTCTTTTTTTTTTTTTCAAATTATTTGCAGATTTGTTTTAAGCCCCCGCTCGAGGCCAGAGAGCTGACTCTGATTATTATTTTTTTCTTTTTTGTACAGGATGATGTTGACAGGATAACTTTGATGTTGAATACCATTTTGACCCAGGTTTGTCAGGGAGGAGCCAACCAGTTATGATTGTTATAGAGAGTAGTTGGATACAGAACAGAGCATTCTACCTAGTTTTCACCCTGGTTGCATCTGAACCTGACCTGTCAAAGGTACAACAACAACACTTACTGTAGGCCTACAAACCTTATTTACACTGTAAGTCAGAGTTTCTCAACCTTAGAGCTGGGACCCCATGTGGGGAATATTACATATTGATATAATTTTTAATAACAGGTTTGAAATATATAATCTTCTCTGTGTGATCCATTTGGAGCTCGCTCCATGCTCTTGAAAACAGAACACCAGAGTGTGCCATAATCCAGTTCACATGATCACTCTCAAAGTGCAGGTTCATGAACATTTTGGGGCCTAAAAAGGTTTTCACAGGCCGAAGTTGAGAAACTGCACTGCAATGCAAAGGCCAACAACACAGCCTCGCTCACATGATGCTTGTCTGACCACAACACATTACAGATCTGCTCAAAGATGGCTTAAATCATTTTAGATTAAATTCATCTTCACCATCTTGAAAAGGGGATAACGTTGACGAAAGAACTTCCCACCTAAAGCATGTATGTATAAATATACCACCAACTTAAAGCAGCAGTTTGGGTGGTGGAGAACCATTATGACAGCGAATGCTTTTCTATGATCTCTGTGTGCATTTAAAGGTGTGTTGACTGATGAGCTAAGCTTCTCCTGGCTCACTTCATGGATGTCCAGTCCTTTTTGACCTCTTGTTCGCTTGCTTTGTTCTCACATTACTGCTCCCTCTCTCTGTTCACACATTACCTCCCTTGACCGCATCTCCCTCACACTCTCAGGAAGCCAAAAACATAACAATATTTTAATCTTACTAAACATTACAAGAAATGTCCGATCCTTGCCCAAATTGTTATACTAGAGTCACTCAGTACTTCCTTGATTTGCCTGTTTCTAAATCATTAGATGCCAGGACCAGTGGTGCCAGGACTTTTTGCCCCTTTGAACTATTGTACAGGGACTAAATTTAATCCCCGGTTTCTCTTGTTGAAACACAGGTTTAGTTCATGAGTTCCTCAAAAGGTTCTCGGACCCCTCGGAAAACGGTAATGTTTACATAAGACCCTATTAGACTCCCTTAAAAAGCAGTGAATACAACATTCAGTGTTAAATACTCTAGTTAGCCTCATGTTAACATTCTTCTAACAAATATTTTCATCAATTGCACACCAGTAACTAGTTTTCAACAACTAGAGAAGATGCTATTCACTAAGTTCCACTCACTGCTGTTGCTGCAAATTAGCAGAACCACCAGACAATCGTACCAATCATTTAGAGGCTTCAATGTAACTCACCACTTTCCGGGATTTGTCTCTGGGTTCCTCTCTGCGACCAGGCAGGGAATGGGCAGGAGGTTGAGATGAGCGAGTGTGTGTGGGGAGTAGCCGTGGAGATGGCCTGTCAGTTCTGTTTCGCTCTGTGTCTGAGTAAGGAGGCAGTGAATCTGCATCAGGCCTGTTACTAGGCGAACGGCTGCAGTGCCGACTAGATTCCCCGCTGCTCTTTTTCGAGCTGCCTTTTGAGGGTGTGTCTGAATCTTCCTCACCCCTGGCCCCACTCTTCCCCTGGCTGACCCCACGCAACTTAGCCTTACGCTCCAGCAGGCTGTTCAGGAATGTGCCATCATAGTCCTTTTCTTGAGAGGAAGTTGATGGTGGACTGACTCTGGGAGGAGGTGGAACAGGACGTTCACTATCCCAAGTGCCCCTCCTCTTTTTGGGTGACGGAAGTGGGCTGATGGTGCGTCCATTTTTCTTGCTCCGTCTGGGATGATCCTCACGGTCCCTGCTGTCTCCGAGCTCATTTTCATTGTTGTGGTAATGCTGAGGCGGGCCATTGCGGTAGGAAGGATATCGACTGAACTCCAGAAAGTCCATCTCATAGTCTCCCTGTTCTTCTTCCCTCTTCTCTACCACTCTGCCTCCCCTCTGCTTGTAGGAAGCAGCAAACTCCTCCAGCTCATCCAGTGAGCGGTACGTTTTTCTATGCAGATGTTCTGAACGAGGGTTCCACCTGCAAAACACAGCAGGAGAGGCCAGGAGAGGACAGAGTATAGTGTATGTTCGTATGGGTGTGTATGTAAGGAATTTGTGTGTTCAGAGTTGTCTGTACCTGTTGTGGTTGTCCTCCTCGCTGTGGTTGTGTTGCTGTTGATTACGGCCAAGCCTGCGTGACTGTGAGGAGGATGGTGGGTCGTCACTGTATCGTCGCTGAGGGGGGGGCTCGTCCCGGCACCGCCGGGGGTCAGAGTCAGGGTCATCATGATGATGCTGAGGTGAAGAGGGGCTGTCACGGTAACGCTGTGGCTCCGGGCTGCGGTTGTCACGGTAGCGCTGGGGTTCAGGCTGAGGATCGTGGTCAGGGATGGCGGGCAGAGCTTTCTTCTGGACATTGCGATATGTTTGGCGGAAGCCAGTTTCTCCTTCGTGGAGAGAGCTCAGCTCAGACAGACTACAGGCTAAACAGATCAAAATAAGATAATGAATCAATGACGAATGATTGAACAGAGTAATTAACAATTGAAGAGAAAATGTTTCCTGAAGGAAGAAACTGCAGATAAAGAAAGTCAGTCAAGGTTTGCAAGAGATTACACAATGTTGGAGGGAGAATTGTTAAAACATATACTTTTAGGTAAGTAGGCATGCACACTTGCTACTGTATCACATCTGAACTACAGGAAATTCAACATGCAGAAAGCTTGAGTGCAGAGATGCAAGCTGAAGAGAATAAAAAGCCAAAAAGACATTGGCAGTGGAATAAACAGTAGAGCATGCGGTCACTATTCACTGACATTGTGGACAAATCTTTTGAAAGATTTTTGAGAGAGCAGAGCCACAGGATGGGTTTATGAAGCTTACACTGGTGACTGTTGGACCTGGCCGGGTTGAAGTGAGCCAGTTGTTTCTCTACATACTGTAGCACCCTGAGAGAGTCCTGATCCTGAGGTGAAGGCACACGGTAGGGAATCCCTACAGCATGCATCGGCACTGGAGATACACACTTGACCCATCAGCATAGCAAACGTCTGTTTGTCTTTATGTGTGTGTTCATTGTGGTTTGAGGACCATACTGGTGTTTTTGCATATTTTCTAGTTCACTATTTTATTTTGACGGGTTAACTTGCTAACAAAGAGTAAGACCTCACCTGCTGTTAGTAGGCTGCCATCTGAGGGGGGGGCAGAAGACATCTTGTCCACTAGGGAGGGGGGAGCGATGGGGACCATTGTAGGGACACCAGAGACAAAGTATGGAGGGTAGGCAGGTGGCTGAGGGGTGGAGGTACCTGTCTTTATACCCTTACCTGCCTCATACACTAAAAAAAAAGCAACACACGATTCCATTCAGCTTTTCCAGAAAAACATACTTTGTTCAAACACTGTCAGTATTCTGAACATGAGGACCTGTGCGTGTGTGTTTATATACTCACAGTGTCTGGGGCAGCAGCACGTGTCGGGGCAGCACCAGCAGCTGACGTAGCAGCAGCAGGAGTGAGGACAACACTGACACCAACAAATCCCAACAAACAGCAGGAATAACACACTGCCCAAAGCCACCGCTGCCACAAACACCCACTCTGGAAGCACACACAACACAGAATCCCACATATAAATAATTACCAACACATATTAACATAGGAACAGCTTGACTTGATCCCAGTGTAGTCATACTTGGCTTGAAAATGGCTGTTAGCTTTGAAGAGCATTCAACTTATTTAGCTTTGGCAATCCTATAACATTGTCAGACTCATGATAGACAATAAAAAAAAAAAAAGAATTGATGCATCATTTTCAAACTTGTAGGCTTCAAGCCCAAATAATGCTGCCTCAAGTGACTTGAGCTACTTTGTCAGATTTCACATAGCTCCCTCTTCTCACATATACAGTAGTACTGCCTGTAAACAGACTAGGATGTGTAAAATCAGCAGAGTTTTCCTTTACATCTGTCTGTCCAGCAGTGTTTTCCTGCTTTTCCCTTCTGTACAGTACGTCTCCATGTTTACAGTGACTGTAAACAGACTATCTGTGTTACACGTAGACTACAACCCTCTGTCCTAATTAATGTGTTTAATGTGAATTGCAACATTCAGTACTCTGTTCACCTTTCATATCCATCAAGCTTCACTTCAGCTAACACGGGAGCTACACTTGTAATAACGTACGTCTTTGTATGTGAGTTTGTAAATTAATAACAAGAGAAAAATCCCTGAAGATTATTAAACAAAATTTTATGCAAACGGAATAAATATTTGAACATATTTTTTCCTGAATGCACAAATGCTGCTTGAAGGTCCAAAGAAATCTTCCTTAATGTGATGGGTTTCCTGTAGAAGAGGCATGTTGGGATGGGACATAACACAGTGAGGAATCATTCTAAACTGTAAAGTTATGGGGCATTAGCTGGGAGAGGAGGCTGGGTTGTCTTCTATCATTGGTAGTTTTTATTTACAAATCAGAACAAATTTTAACCAGAATGTAAGAGGCAACAAAAACTAAGAGAATTAGAGAGTTTGTTTGTGAGTGATACGGCAAGTACAACAGATGAACTACATGTATCTGTCTATAGGGACAAAGCAACGGAAAGGGAAGGAGAAGGCAGATAAGGAGATCTTTAACAATTTAAAACCAAGGACAGTATTGTCTCTCACAGACACACACGGACACATGGACACCAAAAACAAACACAGACACTCACACACAGGAAACTGCTTTTGCTACAGGAAGGAAAAGGACAGTTTATGCTGTTCTGTGAGATACTGGAGATTTGGCTGTTACAACAAACCAGCATTTAATGTGATCTCATTTGCAACCATAATGACCCCTACACATATACACGCACACATACCCCCAAACACCCCCACACATACACACATATAAGGATTGTACCAATACAATTACACTTCAGAGCAGTGTGGGAGTGAATGCGGACAACAACATGTACTAATGTGACTCTAACTTGAGAGATAAGCTCGCAGTAACCATTCTGGCTGAGTGTATCATACCAGGTCATTTTGGGAGCTACTTCCACACAAACCATCCATTCATTTATCATTTCCCACAAACACTGTGCTATTACTGGAATTTGATGTGACATAAACAAACTTCCCACCCTCTTGATTGCTAGGTTTTTACTGGGTAGTGTCCAAACGATGTGGGATGACACGTTAACCACAACCATAAATAACTATAATGACCATAATAGCTGTTTTCCAGCACAGCTCATGTTAGCAGGAGCAACGGTCAGCTCATTATCTGACGAGTGAGGATCAGACTGTCGGGTTAAAACGGCTCTGAAGCGTCTTTATAGCTGAATCCCAAACACCTGTTTTCATTATTTACTGATTTAGCCAGTATCAGAGCCGTTAGCACAGGAACCATTTATCAGCCTCTAATCTAAATGATCATTTCTAAATTTCTTGTATTGTCTGCAAAAATCCATCCATAGAGAATACCCTGCACCACCACCATCCAAATGGTTCCTACACCCATGTTTAGAGCGGTAAGTACGGTTAGTATGAATGAAAAGAACCAGGTAAGGGGGAGAACACATTATGCCCCTACCTGGCATAATCTTCAAATCAAAGTCTGGCAGCAGATCTTCAGGCACACCTGAGAAACCTGGAGAGAGACAGAGGAGAGGAGAGGAGAGGAGAGGAAAGGAGAGGAGAGTGTGGGAATGGCGATGATATAAACTGGAATGATCGATTCAAAGAAGTTACTGCTGCAGCAGCATGCACAAGGAGACAAGGAAGACAAAAACAAAGAGTAAAAGACAGATAAACAGATAGAAAAAAGTTGGCAGGTAAACAGCTGCATGCACCAGAGGACATTCTGGCCTTGTTCCAGTAAGTCTCCACATCAGAGCAACTGATAAGCAGATTGGTCATCTAATTTCTGATATTAAAAGCTGTCAGGTTATCTGTCTGATAAGAAGACAGACTGGAACATGAATCATTGTCACGAAGATAACATGACAAACAGGCGGGAGCTGTGAGTAATGTTACATGCAGAGCTGCAAAAATCACAGGTGGGAACATTCCTCATATCCAGACCCTGAGAAACATTTTGCTCCTGAAACTATTCCTTTGTCTCTCTGTTGTCTGACTTGTCTAAAATATAAAGTACATTTATTTTTTTTAAAGAGTAAAAGGTTTAAATCTGGCAGGGTAAGCTTGATTACTTCTAGACATAAATATGTTTCAGGAAAAGAAAATATCAACACCAGAAATAACCCAAGCCCATAAAAACCATAACCACCTGTCAATTGTTGTTTCTGGTATCCTGCAAGTGTTATGTCTTTCTCCTTTCATTATTTCTTTTATAGATCACTTTAAGGGACTCCACACAAGGTCAGTAGCTGTCTGAATGAAGCATTAAGATGATAGATAAGGGGCAGTGTGTCCACAAGCTGGTGCAAAAATGTGGATGAATGTGTTCAGTTTGGGTGTGTGTTGTTTGGGTGCATATTTCCATGGGACCTTGAAAGATAAAGCTTTATAAAAAGTGAAAAAGATACTGGTGTTTTACTGTTGACAGTATGATTATCGTGGAGAGGAGGAAAGGAGTGCTGAGCATGAGAGAGAAGGACTGGAGAAACAGGGAGCAGGCTAGGCTATCTTGGCCCGACTCTGGCTGACAGAGCACATACCTCACTTTAGTATCTTTCTGGAAGACTAAACGTGCTCTTTGCTGGATTTGAAAACAGAGAGAAACCTATTAAAATTACTGAGAAGCAGCTGAATCACCACATGAATTCAAAAACAAATAAGTGCTGAAATTTGCATTATGTACATTTGTACATGTAAGGCACCTCTAGTTCTTTATAATCTGTTGTTCTGTCTTCTGTCTCCCTCCTGCTCAAGCAGTTGAAGGCAGTTCACTAGTGAAGTTGCCTCCCACTCATGAATTTGCCTGCAGGCTGGTGATTCACCAAGATTTACTTTAAATATGTTGGGATTGCTTGTTTTACCCTATAGGGTGATTCAAGCGCATGGTGTTTGAATACCAGATAACTTTTTGTAAGTTTCCATAACTATTCAAAACAACTCTAAAATCTTTTGTCCAAGAACGATGTGACTTCACAGATACTGTACCTGTCTTCATACAGCATTTAGTACTGGGCCCAACAATTCACTTACTTTTAAGTCTACCACTATCTATCATATTCTATTAAACTCCATCAGGAAAATCTCCCTCTGCCTGCTCTGTTACAGGGAGGTCAGGAGTCATTGTGAGCTACATTGTCCACATACTCAGACTTCTTGGGAGAAAGTGGGACATTTAATATCAAGGATACTGGACTTCATTTTTCTCTGTATCTTTTATGGTTGAAAGTACAAACACTGTTACCAAATGCCAGCTTCAGAGAAACCATTGTATACTATGGCACTTTTCATAGGCTCTGCCAACTATCTACGCTTAGTGGAAAAGATCACTTGAACCTTCTGTCTACAGCGTGAAAAATACTGGATGAAAGGATTGTTATTCACAGGAAACTGGCTCTAATTGTGTTTTTTTTCTCCTTTTTGTCTTTAACTTTTGGCAATAATACTCAACCCCCTGCATGTAATACACCTGTGTGTTTGTCTCTGATATTTGCTGACCCCATGTTTCCAAAACTTCTGTTTGATACATTTAAAATGCTATTCTTTAAATATCGGCCCACTACAGTTGACACCATATATGAAATAGTTCAATCTTGTGCTGGAGTACAAAATACTGAGGAACACTTTGCACATGGCAAATTACTTTACTGCACATTTCAATGTTTTATTTAAGTTTTGGATCATTAACAGGTCGCTTCTTCTGCTCTATGAAAATGGCACTGAAACTTGAAGGCAGACTGGAATAAAGCTGATTTTTTCTCTTCTTTTTTTTAAACCACTGAGTTCTCAGACGTCCACATCAGTAAAACGTCTCACATGGTGTCATCCTGCATCTTTTGTGTCACTACGCCCTGCTGTCCCTCCCCCACATCATTAAATCTTCCCTGTCTGCTTTTCTGTGAAGCCATTTGCTAAAAAGACAAAGGAGGCCCCCCATCCATTCGCTGTGGCCCCAACTGTTGTTATGGAAACACTTCAAGTGCCTCACATCCTATATTAGCTAAACTAAGGTGGATTTAGGGTCTGTCATGCCAGGTTGAAGACTGCAAAGGGCACCTCATGCAGGAAAATCAAGTCATCTTCATTTGTGTGTAGCATTATCCTATCCTACCATTATCTGTAACATACTATCATACTGAGGCCGTACCCAGCGTTAAACAGGATTCAGAACACACGCAAGTTTTTGCAAACTGTAAAAGCTTATTGTCCGGTACTTGTGTGTGTATTTCTGAGTGTGTGTGTATGTGTGTGTGTGTGTGTGTGTGTGTGTGTGTGTGTGTGTGTGTGTGTGTGTGTGTGTGTGTGTGTGTGTGTGTGTGTGTGTGTGTGTGTGTGTGTGTGTGTGTGTCTTTTTGTGCACACACATTAGTCTCTGAGTGCCAGCCAAACAAAAGTTCAGCCACAGAGTGAATTAGGGCACCAAGAGCCACATACCCTCTCAGCCGTTGCCATGGTAACATTTGTTGTAACTGAACACAGAAAAGTACACTGTCACTGTAACACAACGCATTACAGATACTTTTACAACATGGGACAACAGAATGCACACACATGTGCACACACATACGTAGGTATAAGTGGAATATTATTGTGAACCTCTGACTGAAACAAGTGATAATTATTCTGCAGTAATCAAGTTTCATCACGTTGTTCAATATATTAATATACAGCATGAGAAAATGCAGTTGTTACAGATAAGACAGACATGGCCCTCAAAGTGCCACTTCTTGTTATAAATCATCTCATTAATGAGCTTGTATTGTGCTGTCATTGATGAATAGCTCAGTTTATAAAGGCCTTGTTATGTAAAATTCAATTTACAGTGAAAGTCTAATATTGTATAAAACAAGGTGATGCAACACTGCTAGAATCAATCACTCAATAAAACATTGTTATAATTGGTCTACAATGTAAATTTGCAGGTTCAACGATAATGAATCTGCCATAACCGACCAAAGCTTGCACCAACACTGGAAACACACTGTTGAATTTGTAAGTCGATGAGACACAGAGGCGATATTTGCAGAGAATGGTGCGAATGTCACCAAACTGCTTTTGTTCCAAAGCTAAAATTATTTACAAATAGGCATGTTGGGAAAGTAGTGGCATCTTACCCAGAACCAGCAGCTCGACAGAGGCTTCGTTTGGTCCCTCTAGATCATCAGATATAACCACTTTACAGATGTAAACTCCACTGTCTCCCCACTGGACCTCTCCTATCCTCAGGTCTGCCTCTGCATGAGAAAAAGGGAAGAAGTTAAACATGAGAAACTAAGTCCTTCAAGCTGCAGGGAATGAAAAATACGCAAATCATAAAAGAAAACAGGGGAAACGATGGCAGTGGGCAATACATGAAAATGCATCTTTTCTCCTTTTAACATCTTTTAAAACACGTAATTTGTGTATTTCTTGGAGTTAGTAAACCTGGAAAATTATATTATATCCATAATGTTTCTGCTGCATTTTAAAGTCTATACTCTGTCAAAAAAGCGGCAGTCTAAGTATCACAGCTATGTGTGATTGTTGAACATCTCATTCCAAAACCATGGACATTAATCTGCTGCTATGACAACCCTCACACTTCTGAGAAGACCTTCCACAACCACTGATGTTCGGTGACAAGGCCTGGCATTCCAGTTCATCCCACAGGTGTTGGATGGGGTCAGAGTTAGGCATCTCTCAAGGTCAGTCAAGTTCTTCCAGAAAACCTTTCTCTTTTCAGAAAACCATATAGCCAAAAAACAAAAAACAACCCAAGACAGAAACTACACAAACGTACTGTATGTGAACAATGGGGTCCACATACTTTTGGCCCCATAGTTTATTAGTGAACTCTCAGAATTATGCATTAAGTTACACTTCACTTCATTTGTCCTTTTTCATTTATGAAAACAAGATTTCAAGCCGTTAAAACAATTCAGATATGGTTTGGTCCAAGAGTTGAACACCCAAGACAATACTTGGCTGCTGACTCCATTGTAAGGGGGGTCAGACATATAAATACAGCAGACAGGAAATGGGTTGTATAATTCACTTCCTTTTCCTGTTAGCCAAGGAAGAAGGAGGAATGACAGGCTGACCAGTCTCTCCTTCAACAAGGGACACCACCACTCATGCAGCATACCTTTAAGCTACCTTGTGATGAAATCAAACACATTTTCTTTGATTCATTTTATCTTTCCTCACACACTCCAAAGACATGCTAGTCAGACGGACTGCCAACTTTTAAATGGCCATGAGTGCAAATCAGTGTGTTGGTTTGTCTGTGTTAACCATGTGATTAACAGAACACCAACCCCCTGCCCAGTGCATGCTGGGACAGACTCCAGCCTCCCTGTGACCCTGAATAGGATTACATGGGTATGGATGACTGGCCGTCTCTGAAGGCAAAGTAGCTTTCACTTTTTTGTTCATTTACAATATGACTACACTGACCTGCTACAGGACAGGAGGTGGAGTGGGACAGAGAGAGAGAAAGAAAAACCTTACCCTGAGAGAAATGAGTGTGTGAACGGTGGGATGTGGAGAGCTCTAGAGAGTAAAAATAAAAGCGGAACATTGAAGTACATCAGAGGGAAGGAGTGAGAGGTCGGGATGAATGAGAGGACAGCATGAAAACTGCTTCTTTTGTCTGTGTTCCTGGCTGGTGAAGAGAAGGTTGATTCTTCAGCCAGAGTTAGAGCTCCATATATCTGAGGCCTGCAAACAAGGCCACCACTCTGTCAAGCACACACACACACACACAGACAGTAGGGTCCCTTAGATGATCCTTGAATGGCACGATGGTGAGACTGTAAAGGAAATGTAGACCTCAGGAAAGGGGGATGGCATGAGAGTGAATTCCTGTGGTTAATCTGCTGTAAACTGATGAACAATTTCACTACTGCACTGCCTTCATTATCATGACAGATTTGATTAATAACACACCTTATTGCCATGTGGGAGAGGCAGCCCAGCCTGCTGCTACGACACAGGGAAAATGCTGCTAGACTGATTTTTAAGAGCCCAATCAACCTTGTATTTTTGAGACCAATACTGATATTTTAAAAAATCGATATGATAATATATTGGCCAATATTTTTGTTAACAGACATAACAAAGATACGGGGCATTTGGAAAAGAAACTTGTCATTGCTCACTGGAAGACAAACTATATAATGGTTAGATGGACTGGACTTATATAGAGCTTTTCTAGTCTTATCAACCACTCAAAGCACTTTACGCTACAAGCCACATTCACCCCTTCACACACACATTCATACTTCTACCACACACACACACACACACACACACTGATGGAACAGCCATTATCTTGCCCAAGGACACTCTGATGCATGGACTGGAGAGGTAAGGAGCCAACCACTGACTTTCTGATTAGTGGACAACCCGCTCCAACTCCTGAGCTACAGCAAAACATATTTTATTTTTTTTTATTTCAGTGTTTTGTGTTATTTATCAGCCGACATAGTGTATGTGCCAATACCAATATATCTGCAATGGTACAGTCTCAGAACATCATGTCATTCAGTTTTATAATCTAAATGTATAATTTCGATTCAGGATTATTATTAAGATAAAGTTGGCAATGATAACCTTTTTGCACGTGTCTTAACTGCAGTATTTTGTACATGCACCTGAACATGGGTTCACTGTCCAGTTGATCAGTGATTTCTGACTGGATGGATACGAGTTTTGTCCTTTTCTCTTCCCTCAGAAAAAGAAACCTCCCCTTCTCTAATATCTCACATCACACTTTCTTCTCATGCCAAACTGTAGCATTGGCAACTGTTAATGGTGGGTATTTATTTATTTCTTCTGAGTGATATAACCGGTTTGTTCTGACAGATCAGTAAAGTTTACAGTAGAGCCACCCCTGTCTCTCATACCTCCTCTACATGTGCAAAGAATCTCTCTGACAATGGGCATTTGATCGGGAATGTGTGGGAAGTGTGGGCCAATTCTCCAATTTATGGCTTTCATAAAACTTGGCAGGCTTGGCAGAAGAAGAAATAAGGATCAATATGTTGAAAACAAAGAGAAGGTGCTTTTACTTTCATGCAGTAAACTGGACGCCCAAAAACATGAATCCTTCAAACCCTTCAAATCCTTCTGACTTGGTTTCATAGTGCTGCTGGGAGTTTGTATTTCTGTTATTATTCTGTTATTTCCTTAATATCTTATGTCTTTCTTTTATTGTTTTTCTATATTGTGTATTTTAATCCATGTTTCTGCCTCTGTAAAGCACACTGTGACTTGGCTTTATCACTGCTTGCCAACTGAAATTCCATCTAAAGCTGGTGAGCTAAAGTTCAGTCTGTTACACTAAAGAAATGTGTTTGGCCGGCTCCACAGCTGCTGTGTGATTTGAGAAAGAAAAACTTGACATAACTTTCAGCATGGACATCAGAGAAAGAGAACCAGAGATGCAAGTAGTACTACAGAAGTCTTACTGTTGATGATGGAGATGTCTCTGTTCTTGTAGTACTCTGACAGTGTGATCGAGGAACCGGAGATGGAGGCCACAGTTCGGACTGTCCGGCTGCTGTCAGAACAGTCGAGGTAGTTCGCCGCCATCCCCGTCTCGTACCCTCCACCAGCTCCTCCGGTTCCACCCGTCAACCCACCTCCACTCTGGCTGTCGGGGAAGCTGAAGGAATCCCGCGTGCGGTCGCGACAGTATGACTTGTAGACCCACTGTACCACGGGGATCTGGGTGGACACACTGGTGTACTGACATGGCAGAACCACAGACTGGAACAGCACAGTATACCTCTTCCCATCTCTCACAGATACATGAACCCCCGAGCAACAGGGAGGGAGGACACCTGTGGGAGGATAAGGAGATAATGAAGGATCAGTAAAGTGTGAAAGGATGGAAAGTTAAAAAAAAGTGTCTAAATAATCATTACATTCATTGTGTTTGTTGAACTCAGTCAGGAAATGGTTTTAGTCAGTGATTAATGAGTGATTATTTGGTATGGGATGGAGACCCATACCATGTTTTTGGTTTTCAAGAGAGTTGAAGGGGAGGCTCAGAGGGTGCACGTTGCCGTTCTAAAAACAAGCTGATTGCCACGAATTGCATCGTAAGTCACACTCCTTCCTCTCTGAGTCATAACGCAGAGATGACACAGATATTTTTTGATTCCTTGTGACATAGTGTACACTTTCCAGATTTTATTGTCCCCAATGTCCATTGCATATAAACGTCCACAAATCTGCTTAGAAATCATAGAAAAAAGGACTCTCCTTATGACTCGAGAACTAGCCTGAGAATCATCATGTGACTGCACTTGTCTTGATTTTGTCAATAGGGGGACACACACAGAGTTTGAAAACCTCTGGCACACCACAGATCCAGCAGCCAAAGCAGGTGTCAGTAATAAATGGGAATGTGTAATGAAGGGGATTAAGGACTACTGCAGCAAAGAGCAACACACAATGATTCAGACGCTCAGTTGAATCGAGGTCTAAGGAGACACCTGCTCCTGTCTGCACATGTTAAAAATAGCTAACAAATCACACACTCCCTACATGGCTCATGGGAAACATGCCTTTTCTCAACTTGATTGAAGTTACCTCCTTTTTCCAAAAGAGATTCAGTAAATTAAAAATATATCAAGGTAAACAGTAACTACAAACACTTGCATGCTTTTATTTTTCTTGTAGCTGGAATGAAATGAAACATGATGCAGCCAAGGCTGTGTTGAAACTGACTGAGCTGCTTTGGCTCGGTGAAATCTGACTGTGAGCTGAGTTGACCTGAGGCTGTTTTGAAGCTTCTGAAGCTGCAGGACTCGGGGTCACATGATGACCGGGAGCTCCAGCTCGGCAGTTCAACAGCAACAAAGACTGGAGAGATGACCATGTGAAAAAAACACACCCACCTACCCACACACACCCCAAAACATCTGTGTGCTGCTGCTGCTGCTGTGTGTTTTTCAGGTTAAACAGTGGGAGGTGTGACTGAACCGGACCAGTGAACAGGGATGAGGTAAGGGATGAGAGGGGGGCCACTTCGCTTAATCCAGACCAGGCACAGTTCACAGCACAATGTTATGAAGACTATCTCCCTTCTTGGTTGTTTATGGATTTTCACAATGACTTACTTACTGACACTTCTATTTTGAGTTTATAATTGCTTGATCACTTGAGCGATTTATTAAGCAAAAATGCTAAACATTTGCAGGTTCTTCTTCTTCAATGTGAACCTTTGCTGTGTCTATCTTCTGTGTTTACTGAATATCTTGAAGTTTTGGTCTGTTGATCAGACAAAACAAGCGATTGTTAAGACATTACTGGCTCTGAGAAATTTTGAAGAACTTTTTGCACTACAATTGACATTTTTAAGACTTTTTAAAGAGTTTGTTATCATTATCATTTATCATATTGTATATCATAATTCAATAACAAAAATAGTCATTAGCTGCAACCTTGTTACCAACAGAATTATTAGTAGAGTAAACCCAAAACTGTATGATGGAGAAAATTGATGTTTAAGTATTATTTTACTTGCACATGTATGTTATTTACAGTATTTAGAGCAGCCAATTGCATGCTACTGAAAAATACAAAATATACAGAGATCACTTTTAAAAAGCCTGTGGATAATATCGTTCACACCATGCATGCTTTTATTTTTGTTACCAGTAGATATTGGCATTGTGTAGGTATGTATTTAAATGCTTCTTTGTGTCATCTGTTGCCAACTTGGTTTTACAGTAAACGTCTGAGGTTGGGGTGGACTGTTATGGAGTTTGATTTTCAGACCAACATGAATCAAGTTGACTAAAACATAAATTCCTCAGGGAGAACGTTACTTTGACTTCTAAGACCTGGAACAAAAAAAACCCAGGAGGTTGGTCTTCCTGGGATCATAGGCTGCAGGGCGATCTGGGCTTTATTAGTTTTCAGAGAAAGCCACCTCCAGAGCAGAAAATGAAAGCAGGCGGAGGAGACTGCGACTGATGTAATATTGGACAGAGGAATTTTGCTTTGAATGTTAGTTTTAGGGAGACATGAATGCAGAATAAATGTTTGCTGTCCTGTTTCGAACACATTTGTTTTCATTTGAGGAGAATAATATCAGAAAACATTTTCCACATAAAAATCCAGATAAAAAGTTGGTAAGTAAGTTTTTCGGGAGAGATTTTCCTTGTCCTTGTTATCTGTTTCCCTGCTCTGAGTTTTTGCAGGCTCACTAAGACTTTTGAATTTTTAATACCACATAGAATAGAATTTAATGACTGTTTCACAGTCATACACCCAAAGCATGAAATAATTATTTATATTATAAGTGCAATGTTAAACAAAAAATTCATGTAAATAAATTTTCATGTAAATTAATTTACATTTATTTAATTTTTTTGTTATTAATTCCGGGTATATTGCTCATAATCTAAACATGACCTGGACCTGGATAAAATGTTTGAATGAACGGATGGATGGATTAATCAATTAAAAATATTAGTAATAGTAATTAATTTAAGGTCAAGAAAAATGGCACTGGTGATCTTCCAGGCAGGTTTTGCTAAAAAAAAAAAATAAATAAAATAAATTACATACATTTTAATTCGTTTAATCAGTTTAATTAAGGCTTAATACCTTCAAAGGCCTTTTTCTTTAGGTAACCTAAATAAATGAATGCTTTTTTAAGATTTTCTCAGTTTTATCTCATCATAAATCAGTTGTGGAATCAATCTTTCTCTAGGTAACATGCATCTGCTGTGTCTTTTTTCCACTTTTACATGTATTTTTTAAGGTATTAGTGGGGTATTTTGACTAAAATAAAATGGCGTAGTAAACTGTAATTTCACCGAGAGACCTAGTTAAATTTGTCTGAAGTTAGACCTCCTAATCCACAACCCCCAAAGCTTCTGGTCAGATCATTCACACATGACTAAATACAGTGTAACACTTGACTGAAGCACAGCTAGTATACCAGGCAAAAGCCATGAAACCACCTTACATGTTTACAGTTTTCCTTATTAAATTTTGAGGAAACGAGCCTTAGATACGTTGAAATGCCTTGTATCTATGGCAGGAAAAATCACTGACACCTGGCTATTAAACATATAATTATTCATGTGGGAAGAGAAAAGTTTTGATCCAAAGTTACATATACATATACATATCTAACTCGTCCCAACACAACAGGTTCAATCATAAGCGAAGCAGGTAAATTTAGTTGTCTACAGTGACGTTAGCTCAACGTTACCGTTACTCCAAACTCAAACCTGAGTTCAACAACCTGTTACACCACTTTAGTGAGAGCGGTTTCCATCTTTTTTCTCTTTTCATCTTCTCTTACCTGCCAGACAAATGATAAAAATCCACAAGTTCGGCGTCAAAAACGTTTTCCAAATCCTGCAGGTTAATTTCATAGAGGTTTTCTGATGCGCGGAGTCTTCCTCTCTCTTTCGCCCCATCCCTGAACGATGTTTCAAGCTCTCAAAGTTAGACAGTTAACTGGCAGATAACGGGACCAGCGTCAAGTTAGAAAATAAAACTCATAACTTCCGGTTATTGTCTTTTCAGAATAAAATCTTTGCTGCCGGAGACCGTAAATAAAAACGCGTGTTGAGAAGACAGGTAATAAGTCACAAACAATTTTGAGTAATGGTGTAAGCAGATGACTACTGGCATTTTTTTTTTTAATTTTAAATAATTATATTTACTATTTATCTGAGCGTTTTCACATAGTGGCACTTTCCTTTAAGTAAAGTCTGAATGAAAGATATCCACGTTCTACATTATCATTTTATTTTGAAGTCCATATGACTACATATCCGGTACTAGTCGTGTAACTTTGCGCAGAAGGGTGGTCTCTTTCTAGAGACAATGGATGGTGGCGGTGATGGAGGGAAGCGGAAGGGTGAAGTCAGAAACATGGTTAAGAGATTCTTAAACATTAAAAAAATACAAAATAAAAGTTTCAAACATGAATGAATCCCCCAGCTAATAATAATATTAACAATTAATCTCAATACCACCACTACACTACTACAAATAATGATGATTACATAAAATTATTATGATAATAATATGATATAATAATGTAGTCATAAATGCCATTTGATTGTGTGAAGGCTGATTTGTTCAGTTTGTGCTGTGTTGCCATCTAGTGTTCAAGATTCAGAGTTCATTTTTTTTTAATCAAGTTTATTTTTTACAGAATATTGGAACACAAACGCCGAATGTTTCACAATTACACAAAATTTTGATAAATCTCAGTGAAAACTGGCAACATTATTATTGCTGACATAAAATACTAGCATGTAGATTGTCATTTTTCATTGCATTTCAACAGAAATCTCTTCAACATAAAAACATCTTTGAAGGTAACATGGTAAAAAGGAGGATATGTACTGTATATGTTCAAAGTTTATACATATTACTAAAATTATGATTTTCATTTACAAAACATAAAAAACATGAGAGATCTGTGGGACTGTGAGAGATCTGAGAAGTTCTAGTTTCTATAATGTTGTGGTTTAAAAAAGAAAGAAATTAAGAAACTGAAAGCACTCAATAGAATGGATGATAAAACTGGTTCAGTGCCTCTGTTTCTATACAAGAATATAGACTAAGCCTATCTAACTCAGTAAACAAAAAGAATTCCAGTAAGCATAAAGAATGACAAAAACTTTTCTATAGTATGAAGTGGTAGCTTCTTATTAAAACAAACCACCAGTTACACCCAACAGCAGAAGCCATCAAGACAAACGAACATTCTTGCATAACAATGTCTACATATCAGGTTTAAAGCTAAAATTCCACATAATTTCCTGATTACACAACCCTCTTCCACACATCAGACAGCAGGGGTTGCATGTTTTATCTTACAGCATGTGTTTGTGTCTCTACTTTAGAATGTGACTAAACCTGACTGTGTATTCACATACATTTCAAAGTCAAACAGGAAATAGCTTCCTGTATATCGCAGAAAATTATTAACAGAGCATTAACAGTCTGCTGTTAATGCCATTGCTCTCATATAGTACTAATATTGTACTGAATGGGAAAGTGGTCTCAGATTTCAGACCCCACTATGTGTGTGTGTGTTTGTGTGTACACATTTGGGGATCTGTGAAATGTTTGCTAAGTTCCTAATCTTTATATGACGTGAGTTTTGCTGCACAAGAAAGGTACAGATTTTGCCCTGAGCAGTTAGTGCCAGTGTGAAAACTAGAGGGATTTCACCTGTTGACCACACCCACCCACTCCCTGTTAAAAACAGATTAGATGGACTTTGTGGCCACCGATTTGGTTCCCTGCCCCTCCCCAACTGATCCTCCCAGTCTTGTGCTTCAAATCACACCTCTAAACAACCCAACCCTAAAACTGTTTCCACCTCTCAAACATGTAATAACAGATTATGCTTAACTCTAGAATAAGTATAGCCGTTTTTTCCGTGCCAATTATGTCATAACTAGGTCCATTGAGGCAAAATGTTGATTGAGCCAATTAGGTCACACCTTGAGTGTGAAGTAACTGGCAGCCAGTTGGAAAGTCAATGAAAATAAAATATAAGATGGAGGACAGTGGTTGGTAAAGACTGGAGGCCTTAGTCATCATAGTCCCTCCTTGGTGGCTTGTTGGCTGGCACAGGTGGTTTGTCACGATCATCGTAGGGCTCATCATAGCGGTCGTCTCTGTGGTCATTGTAGCGGCGCTCGTCTTCATAGTGGTGGTTGTCGTCATAGCGCTCATTGCGATCACTGTACCTGTCACGGCGGTCGGAGTAGTCACTGCGGCGGTCATCGTAGTCGGTGCGTCGATCGTCATAGTCGCTGCGCCGATCATTGTAGTCGCTGCGCCGATCATTGTAGTCGCTGCGTCGGTCGTCGTAGTCGCTGCGGCGATCGTCGTAGTCGCTGCGCCGATCATCGTAGTCCTTGCGGTGGTCATAGCCGCGCTCGCTCCGTTCCTCATAGCGGTCACGGCGATCAGCGGGTTTGTCATCCTGCCCATCAGCTCGGACAGTCTCACTAACCGGCTCTTTGTCGTGGAACTCTTCCTCACGGACTCTGCAAAGTGAACACACAACAGTCAGATGTTTGGGATGAAGAGTTTTTGTTTTTGTTCATTCTTTAAGCAGCTTGTGTGAAACCATAGTTCTCTGCTCAAATGTGGCTAAATAAATCTCCTTAAACCTAAAACCTTTTCTTCCCTCGGTTCTGCATCTTAGCATCTGAACAACTTGTGTCGTTTTAATATTAATATAAAAAACACTTTTCCCTTATGGATAAAATATGCTGCATAAACAAATGTCTTTGACCTCTCATAGACAGCTGTATTCTCTCTGCCTATAAACCTAAACCACTTGCTCAATCAGCCTCATGAATGGGTTGTATCAGATGTTAACCTCTGTCCACATCACAGCATCTTGTTCACAGCATCAGTGTGAGATGGTTTGTATGTTTGTCTTTAAAGGCAGAGAAGCATTACCCCATGGCATATTCCTCCTCTTTGTTCTTCTTGCGGCAGCAGCAGCAATAGATGACGATGATGAGTATGATCAAAAAGGCAACAACGGCAGCAATGATTCCTGCAGTGGAGCCAATGTTCATGGAAGCTGCAGGATTGAAGGAAGACAAGTTGGGAGAAGAAAAACTGACGAATGGATATTATAATAAATTACTGTAAAGATGTATTTATTGAGATTGCTAAATTCCCAGACTGTTAATGAAAATGAAAGGTTTCTCTCACGTGGCATGACTGCGAGGGTGACGTTGCAGGTAGCAGAGCGGATCTTGTTGCTGGAGGTGCAGATGTAGAATCCTGATGTCTCTTTGGAGATATTGTATAAAGACAGGATACCTCCGTCTGAAAGACAAAGAGTCAGTCACGTGTACTGTACACATCACTGCTAACACGACTTTATTGCTTCTTATTTTACAGACTGCAAGTTCTAAAATGCTACTGCTCATAAAAAGTGCATCTTCTGGAAACTGCAAGGTGCCCAATGAATAATCCCTGCTGTTTATCATATTTCCTGAAGGTATTATTGTACATTTTGTATGTTTACGCGACACAACAGAGACATTTTTGGTGTCAGTGCTGATCTGTTTGTCCTCCTATTTCAACTATTCACCCTGAGGCCTGTACAAAGATATGTCACTGTCAGTGATGAGTCTATACAACACATTTAAAAGCAAAAACATTAGAGGGAAGTCAGATTTTTTTATTCTAGTATCGGCCTATATGTCACCCACAAAGCAAGATGAAATTGCAATATAGAAAGGCCAAATACAGCCTATGCTTGAGGCAAGTTTGAAACAATGTCACAGTTTGGGTACTTAGAAGATTGTTTTCACCTTTTGGTCATTCTTTAATATCCAAATGTATGAGAATTTTTTCAACTCAAAAATACCAACATTAGAATCAGTCTAAAAAATCTAGTGTAAGTTGTGCTCTACATTAAAAATGCATTCCCTGTTCTTGCTGTAGAGCCTATTACTGCCTCTAAATTGCCAAATTTCCAGGAAAATGCATCGACTTTTAAAACATCATCATTGTCTGAAATGAATGTATTGCAGTTTGTGAGCACACACCCTGTGGGTCACCTTTAAACATCAAATAAGGCTGAAAAATGAATTTAAAGTATACCGAGCGAAGAAGAACATGCCTCCATTCTCACCCAAGGTAAGTAAACCTTTATGTGCTGGCAGTTGACTTGTATTTTTCCAGGATCAGTAGTCTTGTCAGAAACTGTTACTTACTGAACACTCATACTTACTGGTGGTGGTTCTGGGGTGTGCAGCACGAGGCACGTTCTGTACATCACGGCTTTCCCACTTATAAGTCGGTGGTGGGGAGCCCTCCTCAGACAGACAGGTTAGGTTGATGTTCTGGCCATACTCTGTCTTACCCTGGATCTTACAGATGGGTGTAGATGGAGCCACTAGAAAAATAGAAATAAAAATAAGGTATGATTTGTATTTAAAAGGGACAATAAAAGAATTTGTCTTGTGACAACAGCTTCTATAGTGACATGTATGAATAATAAAATATGTCCTTCTCATCCATCCATTAGTTATACAGTTTTATCCATCAAGGTCGTACAAGCGGTGGGCGAGAGGCTGGGTACACCCTGGATATTATAGAGTCATCATTTAACCTAATTGTACATGTCTCTGTATTATAGAAGAAACAGGAGCACTCAGAGGAAACCCACAAAAGCACAGAGCAAACCCCAGTTGTTGTGCCGTTTCAAACCAAGACCCTTCTTGCTGCGAGGCGATAGTGCAAACCACTATTATATTATTTCAAGTATGTTATTATGTTGTTACATGACGTAGAATACAGTAAGTGCTGTGACATAAAGATGTCGACTGGTTATAGAGAAAAGGAGCAATGTTGGATAAAATTAACACAGAAGTGTCTTTGTTCTACTTCCATTTGTCGTATGTTATTTATTTTTTTTCATTCGGTAGTAGTAACAATACCCACGTGAATAGAGAACAGAGAGGACTTCAGTGCTAAACATTATACTGACTGAGCGTTATACTTAGGGTTAAATATCTGATACTATGTTAAATGGAAAGCATGAACATCTCTTTTCAACCACTTTTAGACATTTAAAGCAAATGGTGTGTTTTTCTTTGAAAATAAAGGCAATGTTACCTAGAACCACCAAACGTGCAGTGTCAGCTGGCTTGCCCTCATCATCATTTGGGATCTGGACACGACACTCAAAAATCTTGTTGTCTGCTAGTGTGATAGAGGACAGTTTTAGGTTGGCCTTTCCAGAAGGGATGTCTATGTCCACGGACACCCGGCCTTCATAGAGTGATTTGATGTCAGTATGGCCAGTAGAGTAGTGGGTCAGGATCAGGGTCTGTTACACAACAACAGCAGCAGAGGAACATCAAAAGACGAAGACAACAAAGTTCTGCTATTCATTTTCTTATTCACAATACACAATTAATTAGGATTATGCTGATCATGTCGGATGGATAGATAGATAGATAGATAGATATAAAGATAGATAGATAGATAGATAGATAGATAGATAGATAGATAGATAGATAGATAGATACTGACCTCCTTAGCGTTAAGTTTTTCAGCCTCAGCAGACCATGAGATGATGACTAGTTTGTCGGGGGTTAGGGGTTTGGAAGGTGTAAAGCTGCAGGGCAGTGTGATGTTGTCACCCCTGGCATGTTCATATGTCTCCAGTGGGATGTTCACATTGAGGGCACCAACACCAGACAACACTGTCAAAGATTTACTCATATTGATTATTCATTAGTCATTTGCATGCATTTCACTATCATATAAAAACACTAATACATCAATGCGACTTTCATGTGAATGTTATTGCGGGTGAACTTTACATTTATACAAATAACTTATTATCCCACCCTCCCAGTCACAAACACACACAGCAAAGACAGCAACAGCTGCTTGAAAGCCTGATGACTTCTGGTTTTCCTTTGTCCTCTATGACCGTAAACTGAAAATCTCTGTATTTTGTCAAAACAAACAAAGAAATTTTATAACTAAAGGATTTACCCAGTATAATGGGAAGTTTAATCGATAATGAAAATAAGGAGTTGCAACCACAGTCTCCTATGCGCCATTAGAGGCTAAAACCATTCTATGAAGTTACCAGTGTCAGGTCGGTGTGAAAGAAAACTGTACAGGTCAATAGCATATTAACATTTCACAATGTTGATTTCAAAGTGTTATGTGTTCTAAATTTTTGTGTATTCATACAACAACAAATCAATGGGACAGATCACCTGCATATGCAGGTTACTTGGGCCTGTTCCGTTTTAGAACACCTGAAGGTGCACAAACAGGTGTGGCAGCTTGGTTAGGCGCAAAGGACAGAAACAAATGTCATTTATCACAAGAATACTCACCCAGACACAGCAGAGTCAAACTAGAAATCCTTCCCTTCATAGCTGAGACGCTTATTTTATAAAACCAGCCGTCAGTGATTTTTCTGCGTGTGGTTGTTTTACTGCAAAAAGAAATAAGGAACCTGAACCGCCGGTGCGGTGTCGCATCGAAACCCTACTGCGTCCCGTGTGTGATGAGCCCGCTGGGTGTGCCCGCCGCCCCGCAATGACTGACAGCGCCCTCCACCAATCACCGCAGCTCTTGCTGTTCAGGTAACATTCTTGCTGAGCTGTCCTGACGTGTTTCGGCTCGTACTCTCATCCACTAGCTAAGGCCTATATTTGACTTTAGATGAAACCTGTCCACTGAGTTTTCTCAAGATACATTTTACAACAGAAGCACATATGGATTATTTCAGATATAGTTTTTGCACTGTTTCTAATCAAAGATCGCAAAATCACAAATGTTCGTCTTGAACTCCAAAGCTTTATGTATTAACACAGATGTTATAGAATTCTTTCCTTACTCTCTTTTATCAATCAGCTTTAGCGCAGGTTGCAAGAGAGAGAAACCAAACACTTAACAGTGTTTGTGTGCAGAGAAAAGCTGATGTGTGCTGGTGGAACAAAAGAAGCATTTTGTCCTGTCAGACTGGTTTGACTAGGATTTACCACCTAGAGGCGAACATGAACACACCCACACATGAACGAACGAACACACACAGACACACAGACACACAGACACACAGACACACACACACACACACACACACACACACACACACACACACACACACACACACACACACACACACACACACACACACACAGAAAAAGAAGTATATGTTTCATGTTTCCATCTCGACTGAGCAACAAACTATACTTTAGTCGTTTGCCAATCTGATTATCAAATAGTATATTATCAGAACTGAAGTTCAGTGTTCATGTGGACATATTCTGGCACAAATGAAACTCCATGCTATGGCTAGCTAGTGCCAACATTTCTTTGTCTGACTATCTATCTCACTTGTTCCCTTTTGGTGTATGGGAGTGGGTGTGTTGCACAGACGTATGTCTGGTATGTTTGTATGGGTGGGCAGGGGATGATTCGTTTTTATTATATTCATATATATGTACATGTATATAAACGGTTTGGTTTATTTATATTTTGGTTCACATGTGGTGTGTAAAGTGCACTGAGCCAAATGTGCTATATATACACTGTTGCTCATAAAGTTGGAATAAAATATTTTTTACCTCTTTCCATGAAATGATTGTGACAATGATTTATTCTTGACAGATAAAGTGTATATATTCTCAAAACTTTAGTAGTCAATCTCTTCCAAACATATCACAATGAAAATGAAACCACAATTAAACTGAAAACAAAATTATTCCAACTTTATGGGCAACAGTGTATAAATTTGATTAAAATCATTTTGAGTTCCAAACATAACACAACACAAAATAAAACATAAGCCTCATGGATCAAATTTGGCTCTGTCTTGAGTTGTGCTGTGTTACTATGCTCCACTATGGCACCACTTAGTAGATGGAAAAAATACCCAACAATACTCTCAAACATTGTGCGACAAAGTTGAACCAGCATGAACCAACTTTCAGAAAAAGAAAGTAACTTTCTGGCAGAGAGCTGGATGAGATTACCGATCTATGATGTCAGACTACAGTTGCCTGTTATCTTAGATTAAGCACAACACCTGGAAACAGAGGGAAAGCTTTAGCCTGGTTCAGCTGCTAAATTGCAAAACAGCAACAGTAACATTAGCTGCTAATTCTCGCCATCACAAATTAAATACTGATTTGAAATGAAACAGTGAAAGTTATGTTACCTTTGAGTGCAGCCCACTAAAAAATAAGTAGTATGGTAAAAAAAGAAAAAAAAAAGACAACATAATGATTCTAAAGTGAATGGAACATGATAAAATTTCAGCAACCATCGCTGCTCAATTGGCCATTCACTCAGAATGGCCATTACAAATCTATTGAATATAAACAGTGACAGTTATATTACATAAGATGACATGAAAAATTAAAGTCACATTAGTTGCCTGTATAATAATACATTTAGCTGCTAACTTTGGGTGTCACAAAGTTAAGTCAAGGTAATGCTAAAGTGAGCGACATTATAGACATTATAGACATTATAGACATTATAGACATTATAGACATTATAGACATTATAGACATTATAGACATTATAGACATTATAGACATTATAGACATTATAGACATTATAGACCGCTCAGACCTGCACAGACATCCTTCTGCCTCATATGAGAAATATCAACTGCTTATATAGCCCCTTTCTCTACTGAACAATTAGCCTGGGCAGAACCTTCATTTAAGGGGGCTAAGTCCATATGATTTAAAAACGATTAATTGACTAAAAGTTACTGTTATCGTTAAACATCAACAATACAAACAAGACGTAAATCACAATTTTGTAAACAAACTGTGTAATCGCTTCAAATGAGACAAATACTTATTAACGGAGTATATTAAACTTGTGACCTCCCCCACAATCATGGTATAACTCGTGACATCACTGATGACATCAGGAAGAGCATAAAAGAGGGAAGTGTTTGGTTGCCACCCCCTTTTTTTAAACTCCCAGAGTCCATGGTGAGTATATGCTAATGCTGAGGCTGGACAAGCTAACGCTAAAGAGGTCAGTGTTTGGACAGATAGAGATAGATATATAGTGATATTTAGTTAGCGAAGACTGAGTTTGAATACACATTTAATTTGTCTGCCTTTAGGTGAAATCAGAAATGGTGGTGCATTTGTGTAGTGCTGTTTGCCTCAACCATTTAGTAGTAGTACACTCAGGCGAAAAAGAAGTTTACATCTTATTACATGATTTTATGCAATCTTAATAAAATTTAAAATTGAGTTTAAAATGTTTTTGATTATTCGAATTTATTTTTGTTGTTTTTGAATGAAGTTTTAATGTCATCAAAAAGTTTTATTTTTAATGCATTTCCATGCCTCTGTAGAGCACTTTGAATTGCCTTGTGTCTGAATGGTGCTGTGAATAAACTTGCCTTATCCAGTCTGTCTAATCCCAAGTACCCAAGTATCAGCCTGATTAGAAAGCGGAACTGCCATTTATATTTTTTCACTATACAGTGCACATCAGCATTTTTGCTTCCCTTATTCCTAACATCTGCTGGGTTGTGACAGCACCAAAGTGCACATACAGATAGATGGTGAACACAGTGGAGCATTTAGCAGCTAAAGAACCAGGTATTTCCCTCTGGAGATGGTAGAGAACTAAAAACAGAGCTGTGACAGAGAGAGTGAATGTTACTTATATTCATCAGATGGACAGAAACACAACTCCATGAATGAATGATGATGTTGCTCCAAGAAGTAATTATTTCAATTAGTGCAGGAAGAGAGAACAGTAGGTAGAAAAGCTTTTGATGTTTTACAGTAAATACAGCTGAACTTGAAACCAGGAGTGTTCATCTAATGGCCAGTTATGCTGTACACTGAATGCTGTAATCTAGAGCATTAAAACCACTTATTTCACAAGAAATGCATCAATATTTTGCATTCCACTCATGAAGCCTTATATCACAGCCTGTGGTTCAATGTGAAGTGATTTTCAGAGGAAATGCTGCCACCTTGTGATAAAGCTCGGTAGACAAATTAAAGTCAAATTAAACCTTTCAGGCAAGTACTCAAAATTAACTAAATTAACATCAAACTGAACTCCCACATTAGTTTAATGATTTTAATCTTATTTCTTGTTCATTTCATTGAAACTTCTGTGAAGTAATTTCTCCCAAAGACAGGCACTCAGCAAAAAAAAAAAGAATCAAATTCATCGAAGACTATTTCAATTGCCAGCAGCGCTTATATTCAATAGTCAAAAAACCCCCTCATTGAAAAAATAAAGAGAATAAATGTCATTGAAAAGATTGAAGCAAAGAACCAAAAGCACTTTTCCCAAAACAACCAACAACTTTGCATAGAAAAATGGGACAGCTGTGGCATTTTAAGTCCACTAGAGGGTGCTAATTAAAAATCTTCTAAATATAAATGCCTTGCTTTTTCTGTTTTACAGATGAGCTGAATTAGGTGTGTGTGTGTGTGTGTGTGTGTGTGTGTGTGTGTGTGTGTGTGTGTGTGTGTGCTCGGTGTGTGTGTGTGTGTGTGTGTGTGTGTGTGTGTGTGTGTGTGTGCAATTTTAAAAGTATATAAAAACAAGTGTATATGTTTTTTATATGTTTTTTTTTAAACTTAAATACTGGTCAGAAATATAAAGAAGGGGAGTTCAATGTAGAGAATGTATTTAACAGATTCATTGAACCTGCTGCAGATGTGAACAGCTGCATGTTCTTTCTTTGATCCTTTGACTCGTAGTGTCTTCGTTTGTGCACAGACTGAACATGCTCTCTGTATTTGAACAGCTTGCATCCACTTTATTCTCTGTACTTATTATACTGATTATTTCTGTTTTTCAGTTTTAATTTTTTTTTTTTATTATTATTCTAATCAGAATTTAGAAATAAATTTTGGCCTTAAATAACATTTATTTAGAAATATTTTATCATATTAATCTGTTTGAGTTTGATTTCATTTGTAAAGAAAGAAAGAATAATCAAATGTAATATGCATTTGGGTGAAATTTGGGTCCTGCAGATTCCAGTACCTCTTCTTGTTCTTTGCAATGAACAGTAATATGCTCATGAGTTGAAGTCTCTAGTCCTCCACCACCCACATAGACCTCAAAATGTTTCAAGGCCCATATAAGAGCCAAGGCCTCTTTTTCCACAGTGGAACAATTCAACTGGTAAGAATTGAATTTCCTGGAAAAGAAACTGACTGGTGGTCAGTACCATCAGTACCATTCTGCAAGAGGACAGCTCCAGTTCCCAGATTCCTGGAATCTACCTGTAACTGCAAAGGTTTATCACCACAGGGAGGACAGGAGCAAATGAAATCAGATTTTTGACTTTTTTTAAAAGCACAGTGACACTTAGGGGACTAGTCAAACTTCACCTTGGAACTGTGTTTAACTATGTTTAAGAGGAATAACATGAAGGAGATTCACATGAAAGTCATGATCAAAGTCATAAACAGTAATATTGGACTAATATTTTCCCTTTTTCTTGAAGGTGGAGTTGTAAAGTGAAAGCGGTACACAGAAGAGAGGCACAAATCCTAAACAACTTTCATAAATCTGTCTTTGCTTACTTTGGTTGCTGCTACTATTACTGCTACTTCTGCTGCTATGAGTGTTACTAATACAGCATTACTGCTACAACTACTTTATGTCAACTACTTCAACAGATTGCTTAAGATTCCAATCATAACATTTGAAGCCTTTCTAATAAATTCATCTCTTAACTTTAATATTGAAGCATGCACACAAATTATTTGAGAAAATATCACCTTTTCCAGGTGATAATAGTTACAGTGAGCAGGATCTTGTAATTTTGCAGACCCACAATATATGCTGCAAGTAATATCACAACTGTTTGTTTTTTTGTTGTTTTTTTAACTCTATTCAGCTGTTTTCAGTCTCATTTTGAATTTCCCCAGATGGAAGTGCTGAGGATGAGGATGCACTTTCTGTCCCAGAAGTGATGCAACGGTCGACTGGACAGTCACACAGGAACCTACTTCTTTCAGAAAGAGAAACTTTAAAGAAGCTTTTAACTATTTATCTGCTTGTTAGCGCGCACACACACACACACACACACACACACACACACACACATATATACATATACATACACACATCACATTTCCTGCTGCACATTGTGTGAATTATTGTGAATAATATATTGTGAAAATATGGCAACAGCAGAATCAAGTGTGCTCCACTGATGATCAAACAGCAGCAGGTGCTAGTGATAAACTTTGGTTTAATTTTTTTACAGTATTGGCAAAGACACTATGACAAACTTTTATTTGGACTCAGCCACTGCAAGCCACATGAAATATGTTTTTATTAGTCCGTGTTGTTTCTGATGTTCTTGGCTCACGTGATATTTTCTTTAGCTGTCACACAGAGCTGTGTACTCAGATAGGCATGTGCTGTGTTTTCTGTGCTGAATTGTGCAGTTCACGTTTTGAAATGTAGTCTTGACCCCACCCAACCAACCACACATGCCAGTAAAGCAATAGTCCTGAAACTTTCAGCCAGAGAGGAGGCCAATGAAATGCTGTTTTTCAGCCTGGTGTTAGTGACATTTGACTTGTGTGGTGAATACATATGGCACTAAAATCCTTCTTTTTTTTTTTTTTTTAAATTAAAACATAAAGGTAAGGGTGACAGAGCTATACTCATCTTTTCTTCTCCCCTTAGCAGAGACCACTGTGATTTCAGTCCATACTCTGACAAATAAAAATAGTTTTCATCACCTGACCTTGTTTTCTATCCCCCAGCTCTCTTGGGACATAACCCTCAGCAGTTGACTTTGTTTATACTGTTGCCACTAAAAGTCTTGATGACTTAAAAATTAACTTGTCATGTTAACTGACTCCGGGCCAAAAACCAAACCGCACATGCCTCTCCTGTTGGTTTATTTATTGATTGAATTTTCTAAACCTGTGGTGTTGCTCTGATTCCGACTGCAGCTCTGCTCCTCTGAGAGAAAGCAGAATGAGATCCCAAGGTGCACTGCTGTAGTACTTGTATTGGTTCATCACACTGAGCTGTTGTGATTGCAGCTTACATCACAACATGGTGAATGACTGAAAGTGGATTTAATGAAAGCGATGTTTGGATGATGGCTGGTGGTTTGAAGAATGAGAGAATGAGATTTAGAGCTGACTTCTTTGGTTTAAAGCAACATCATGATGAAATGTGTCCACTTTAAACATATTCGGTCTGGAATAATTTGAATGGACTTGTAAACAGAAGCCTCATACTGAGGATTAGGCATTTACAACCAGAATAATTTGGGTTTTCCATCAGGCCTGTGAGATAAAGCATTAACTTATCATTTGTGTTTAGCAAGTTTAATGATTACCGTAGATTTACCTCAAAAAGAGCTCATAAAGTGGCCAAACTAAAAAAAAAAAAAAATGTTATCCTGTAAAACTATCAAACAAAGAACAAATAACGCCTCTTACTTTTTACTTCCTAATTCTGCAGTGGCAGTAAGATGTGTTTGCTTTCACTGCTGCAGAGTTTAAACAAGATAAGGAGCAGTGGCTGGGCTCGGCCGCCTCTGTTGGGTGTGACGGCTGCCTGTCGGTCTGACGGCAGATGGTGATATGTCAGTTTCACCAGAAGACGAGCAAGAAAGTGGCATGAAAGGAACAGACTCGTTCACACCCTTCATTCATGGCGTCAGGCCGGCTGAAACTCAGACAGCACTCGTTAAGTTCAGTTCACTGCTGAGCTTCTCGTCCGCTGCACTTGCTCTTGAATTCCTGGCAGGAAAATGGCTAAAAATATTAGCCTTTGTTTCAGACCATAAATGCCAATCATTCACTGAAACCTGCTCTGCTGGCTTGTCATCTCTTTGTGACAGGAAGATAATGCAAGAAGACCTTTGTTTTGGAAACAGCTGCATTTTAATGTTAATATATTGTGATTAGATGTAAGCCTGGTGGGCATGATTTTGGACCAATATTGAAAAACTTGTCTTCCTTTACAGAAAAAATCTTGTGGCCAAACAGCTACGTGCCTTTGTGTCTGTGAGCATACACCTGTGTGCACATACTCTCCACCTCCACAGAGACAGCAGGAGGGGGGAGTGGCTCAGGTATGCCTGATATTCTCGCTGGGTTTGGAGAGGGAGGAGATGAAGGGGAGGAACGTTAAGAGACGGCATGGCAACACAAACCTTATAAAGACGGAGGCACACCCTGCTGGCCGCCTCAGTTCAAATCATCTCCCAGACAGCAACAGCAGCACCTTGACAATCATGCTCAGCCTCATCAGATTACCACGAGTCTTCACCATCAATCAAGTTCCCAAAGTAAGTTCATCTTCAAGGATCTTTACTGGATATTTAGGACTTTTCAGCTTTCACACAGTCAAACTGAGCTGGACTCAATTAGGAGGGTTAGTGACGGGGAATCTTAAGAAATGCCTGTGGTTATTTTAAAGAAATCAGAAAGTTTGTTTGAGAAAGATGCACTTCTAATTTTTGAAGACATTTGGTTCTTGCACCGATCAAACCTGAAATTGCTTTGGAAAAAAATCTGCCATTGAATGAAATGTAAAGAAGTAAATGAGTGCTTCCTAACTTTTTTGTCTTGTGACTAAGCAGAGAGTAGAGTAGCCTGGGAGGATGGAAGCATCCAGTATTGCACAAGAAAAAAAGCAAAAACTTTATCTTGATCAGCATCAAGATTAAGTCTTGTGACCCCTCAGATTTATCTTTGGACGAACCTGGAACCTGGGTCGTGTTAGTAGACCACTCTGACATAAACATGCAACACTTGCTCCACTGATAATTTCTTAGTCTTGTGTATTTTGTTACACTTTGTACTTGAAAAACAGGTTTCTCAAAGTTGTCAAACTGACTGAGGACTAACCAAGAGGTTTCTTTTTTTGAGGTTTTTCATGAGGACAGCATCATCTCCGGGTACCGACACCCCCGCAGCTCAGCCACCGACTGCATCCTGAGCCTGTTTCAGCTGACCAATGAGACGCTTAACATCTGGACCCACTTTTTGCCCACCTGGTACAGCTGACAGATTTTTATTTTTGCTTCAATACATCACAAATTTTAAGAGTCATAAATGTGTGTCTGCAACCGGTTCTGCTGACATTCCGTTTTTCTGTTTATGAGGCAAGTTGCTCAAGAGGTGATAGCTTAGCAAACAAGTTATTTTACTCGGAAAGGAAAACTTTTTTTTACCTCATCCACCACGATTCAAGAAGGACTCATACCAAGCACATGATTTTCCAAATTGTCAAAGCAGAGTGCTCCTGGGTTCGTAAGGAAGTTTTCTGTGGTCCACTTCTGAAGAGGGAATCTGGTACATCTTGTAAAGCTTGTAGGTTGGATGCTAATCTAGTTTCTTTTACAAAGTGACATTTTCTGAACCTACCAGATAAGTCACATGGTCTTCTCTCAGATCACCATGATAAAGAAAAAGTCAAACATTCCTCACACTCTTTCTTCATCAGACATTTAAGCTTCTATATTTCAAACCAGTATCCACTAGGTTTCCATCCGAATGTCGCACAAATTTTGACCAAATTGTAGAAAATTGGCAAAAGGAACTGGAAACGAATGCGTGTTTCCACCCACTGCTGCTAAACTAATATTAGGAGCTGGTTAGTCATAAGAGTTGAACATGTGGTGGTGCTAATTTTGCAGTTGGGTGCCATTAAACCATCGCAGAGGAAGAGGACACAATGGGATGATGTACTTAAAAGAGCACCAGTCAAACCTCAAATGGTGAAAGAAAATGGAGGAAATATGATGGAAATGTGTCATTTCTGTTTGTTTTCTCAGCTTCTATATTTCTACTGAGTAAAAATGGACTCCAGATGCTTTTAGGTGCAGAGAGACAGGGAGACAGATGAAGAAGAGAAAAAGAAAAGGCAAAGAAAGAGAGGATGAGAATAAGAAGACTACTCTCCATCTACTGTACATCTCTGCGCAGTATGACCAGGAGCTCCATAAAAGAAATGTTGTGGCTCCTCTGTGTTATTTGTTTTCTGTGTGTGTGTGTGTGTGTGCGTGCGTGCGTGCGTGCGTGCGTGCGCATTACATTTAAAGTTACTACAGAGGATCCTTCACCCGCTAGCCACTCTGCACTTCCTCCCTGCTGAGATGCCAGTTGCTTTGACTGCACAGTCCGCAGAGAAAGTGTGCATGTGTTTGTGTTTGAGGATATACTAAGATCACTTGGGTGTTTGTATCATGGGGCACAGCGTAGACCTAGAGGACCTACAGACCTAATGAGCAGATCTGTGCCTAAGGCTTTCAACTGAGATGCCACAATTAGTTAACTGCTCAGTGACGGGGAAAAGCACAAATAATGTTGATTTGTTAATGAGGTGCACTGAGACTTGGAAACAGTGGCTGCGATACACAAGGCAAACTATAGCCTCCTGATAAGATAAAGCTTTTTGTGTAGCACTGTTAGCTGTTGTGTAACTGATAAATTATGACGTAATTGAGTGAAAATGTACATGATGCTTAATTATGAACATCTTGACTGACAGGTACTCTGACTGGGATGACAGGCCTGTTTAACATAGCTAATTAAAGGTATTTGTCTTAGTTGTCATAATGTGGGCATTCTGTTGAAGTCTGCCAGACTGGGGAACTGGACATTAGCATTAGACAGGAGGTTTATACATTTCTGTTATTTTGCAGCTTTGCTCATTAGGCAATAAGCCTCTCTCTGACCGGCCTAATGGTTCAGTGTTTATTGTCACTTCACAGCAAGGAGCTAGTTAAATGTTTAAATCCTGTTTGTTTTGGTTAGTTTAAAAAATGGGAACAGTTTGGGAAATGTACTTATTCACTTTATTGCTGGGAGTTAGATGATAAGATGGATACATCTCTATGAGAGCTGATGGGAAGTTAGCTTAGCATAAAGACAGGAGGCAGGGAGACACAGGTTGCATGGCTCTCTCCACAGGGCAACACCTCTAAAGCTTAGAAATGAACAGTAACATTTGTTTGATCCTTAAACAAACACAAATGTAAAACTGACAAGTTGTGGATTTACAGGAGGTTACATGCTGTAACTCTGAAGGAAAATCTGTTTCTATTGTACTTAGGCCTACATGTGGTGCATGATGTACAAAAGTCAAGTGCCAAATGTTCAGCTACTCCTTTATTATCTCATATAGGTGGCTACTACCAGTGATACTATAACAGTGTGACGAATGGTATTGAGCAATGATGCAGAGTTAATCATTCATGTAGCAAAAGCCAACATTAGATAAAAATCAGTTCTGCTGCATCCAATCCAATTTAATCAGCTTGATGTAACCTCTTTCTTCTCTCAGGTACTTCCTATGGAAACTTGTGACGGTGGTGCTGATGCAGGCAGCATGGCAGGACTCCTTCACCTGGCCTCTGCTGATCTTCCTGTTCTCCTGCTGCATTTATCCTCTGGCGTCGAGCTGTGCTCACACCTTCAGCACCATGTCAGCGCGGGCACGCCACATCTGCTTCTTTTTTGACTATGGCGCCCTCAGTTTCTACAGCCTGGGTAAGTGCACGTGGTTCACTGTCAGGTGGTTCACTAGAAACCAGTGTGAGACATATCTTTAAGTGGTGCTGCTTTATGCTCTGAGCTCTCCATGTGCAAAATGTTGTTACTAAACTGTTGATTTAACAACTTAGTATCAGCGACTCGACCCGATATGATATCTAAAAGAATTGCATGATGCATGAAATTTAGTGTATTTTAAAAAGAGCCAGGGGTGTCTTAAAATGTTGTATTCTGTGTGTGAAGCAGTGTACCCCCTGTGATGCAAGACACCATTTCAGAGAAATCTGACAATAAAGTGAAATCAAAGTAAATCATATCAAATCAAAATAAGCCATATTTGTGTGTAAACATTTTAGAGGTAACAAAGTTCAGCAAGTAATCCAGTAAAAGCAGAGAAACAGAGATACTCTAACACCCTGTATGTCACAACATGAATTCATTTTGCCTCCTCACTGTTGTAATTTCTGAGGCAGTAGTTAATGGTGGTGGTGTTGTGTTGAAAGGCATTCCTCCATTGTGTATGTGAACGCTGCTGGACAAAATATCATAAATGATAAATCCATCAGACTGGAGTGTATACAGATACATTTTCCTGATATTAAACATACAAGGCTATAAGTTTACAATTTTGCACTGTTCACGTCTGCAGGGTCAGCGATCATCTACTCAGCTTATATTTTCCCGGACAAGTGGGTGAACGGCTTGTTTCACCAGAGCTACATCCCCATCGCTGTGTTCAACACTGTCATCTGCACCGGCCTGGCCTGCTACTCCAGGTATGGTGTGAAGATTCATTTTACATAGCTCCCCACTAATGCTGGTCCTATCTCAGCATGTTGTGCAGGTTAACAAGATAGCATGCTGAACATTAAAAAGCTAAACATTTGTTGTGACGCTGCATGTATGATATGGTGCTAATATTAGCTTTTCCCACTTTCAAGTCACAGTGCTTTTTTTTTTTTTTTTTTTTTTTTTTTTTTACAACACTTACCACAAGTTGTGACAGTGGCAGATCTAAACACTTTACTATGTATGAAAATAGACTATATAATAATATATAGTAAAATATTGGAAAGTTATTTTTCGACTATATAACAATGACAAATGCAACTGACAGTATAACTTTTTAATTTTGATTCAAGTTGTACAAACTAAGCAAGGACACACTGTATGCCATTTCTGGCCAACTATGTTGTTTGGATAATAAAACAGAGTTGCAACTAGGAAAACAAGTTTCAAATGCCTTTAGTGTGCAGTGGGTGGAGTATTTTTTTATCTAAATGGTTAGACAAGTTTTTTATGGTCTAGAAATACCTTCAGAACTGTGTTAAATATGTAGAGGTTTCTCAAAGATCGATCATGAAAATCTGAATTATTCATTGACCTTTGTCACTGAGGAGAAATAGCACTGTTCCACCTCTTACATTCAGAGCTGTTATCACAGTTAGTGCTGTTATTTTCTTCATGTACTGAATTAATGTTGGCATGTTCTTCTTTCACTCATCTCTCCCCGCTGCTTAAGGCTTGGCTTACCATTTCTACAATATAATCATGACATCGTAAAGAGGTAAAGACCATGCACTTGCCTAAAATTCTGCTCTGCCTATCTCTCTCCACTGCTCTGTCTAAAGTGATATTTGTTGTGCCTCAAATGGTGGTAGTAATAGATGCATGCAGTTTCCACCTTCAAAAAAGTGTGGTTATCATTGTAAAGTATTGGCGTGTCTTCACACTGACATCACCCATTGAGCAACTCACAGTTAAACACAGTGGGTGTGTGAGTGATGAGTGTGAATATAGAGACCAACCCAAAACAGTGGTAGTTTCAGCTGGGCAGGTCAGAGGAGCTGACAAAACCAGTAACAGAACGTGTTCTGTAACAAACTGACTCTCACTTTCATTCAAGAAAATCAAACAAGGTTAAAGTGTTCTAGTGTTATACAACAACAGCTCATTTAAGAACCTGCTGTTTGTGTGTTGCCACATATCCAGTTATTACATGGAATAAAACAATTGCCACAAATGTATTTATTGATTTGTTTATCTCAAGCTCTTTGATTTAAATTTCCAGAGTAAACAAATTCTTACGACAAATAAATTCTCATATAACTAAGGCATTACCATTAGTGACGCTGTGCAAGGTGTTTCCACATAGCTTCCTCCACAGCTGTAACACAGTGTAACCATGAGGATAATTCCATGAATATTAAACATTGTTTGTCATTACTGAAAATGATATCTTTTGTTTCAGATTCCCCGAGTGCCAGAGTCCAAGGTTCAGCAAATTTCTTCGTGTTGTTGCCTTTGCCTACCCCTACCTGTTCGACAACATTCCTCTGTTCTACAGGGTACGTCCACCTCTGTGCACTTCACACATCTGCGCCTTCACACAAGATGTATCTAAGAAGACACAGAAGAGTGTGTGTTGTAGTTTATAATAGAATGAATTTGGAAAACACAGTCCAGTATAGCACCCAAGATTACCTTGGATAGAGAAAAAATACTGCATGTTTCCTATTGGACAACATTTTAAAACACAGATCTTTAACAGGAATGATATTTTCTGCTGAACGCACAACAAAATCAATCAAAATCATCATATGACTTAATGTATGAATATGTCGTTCAAATGCACATAAAGGTTACACAAGTTATGATGTGATGTATGATATGAATTTGGTCCTGTCACAGCTGTGACAACCTTTAATTATTTTGTTTGAAGGAGGTGAATGTGGTGTGCAGTTAGTAGATGTAAACATACAAAAAACCACCAAACAGTTGACGCAGAAAGGACTCTTCACCTGAAATAATTCCAAAAACTGAAGCTACATGATATAGAGTTACTTTTCTGAACATGCATGTTACATAACAACATCTTCTTTCATTGGGTATGAAACTGTTATTGAGCAAAAAACCTGCAGGGTTTGGATCTTTGGGTGACAGCAAATCGAACACCCAGTGTTTCCTCTGTAATGTAATAAATCTTAGCAAAGCCCTTTAATCAGAAATGAAATGTAACAAACATTAACCATGGGTAAGATGGCCAGTACGTGAAGGTTGAGAGTCACAAAATAAACATTTAACATTTTACTCAAGGCGGGGTACCTGATTGGAGCATTGAGTGTACAGCAAGGTGAATAAACCTTTTCTTTTAAAAGGTTTGAAAAACATTAGCCAATCACTACAGTGATAGTTGTCTTAAAACCTGAATCTGCTCCTGCTCTCCCTCTGGATGTGTGGTTTGAGCTGTTCCACTTTTAAACTGGGACAAAAATGTAAACATTTCTTTTTTGACATTGATATATTTCGAAACTGTGAATGTTCTGTTTTTGGTCAAATCCTGTTTCATAAAATTTTACACATTCACCTTTGTGACTTAAATCTTCATCTTACATGGCAAGTCACCCAGCAGCTCCACTGCAGATACTTCATAGAGGAGTTTAAGCCGTGTTGATACATTTGAAGATAGTAAAAATAGTTTCCTGTTTCCTGAATAATGGTGACATCACTGTTATCTGTTACATCTGCTCTGCGTGTGCTGCGTTCACAGGTGTTCCTGTGTGTAGGAGAGGGATGTACAGACAATGATACCAACATCCTCCACTACAACCACATCGCATTGGCTTTCCTCACAGGCTTCCTGTTTGCCACACATTTGCCCGAGCGCCTGGCACCTGGCAGCTTCGACTACATAGGTAAGACCGATCTGAGGAGTAGCTGTTGTTGTCAGTAGTATGTTAGGCATTGCAGACAATTATCACCCAGCTCTGTACTTCCCCTCTGCCCTACAGTGTGTTTCAGTGTCATTTGCCTACCTTCACCGCTTTCATCAGTGTCTTGTTGAGCAGCAGCAGGACACTGTTTGCAGTGAAAAAAGCTCTAAAAACCCACTTTCTACTACCTGCTCAGTTCTAAATGGCAAACATTCAAAGTTATAGACAGTCTGATGAACATAGTGGAGAGCCAAATATTTTTCTCCTGAACTGGTCAGAACCAAAACAGTGTTAAATAAATAAAAAAAATTATGTTGTGCCATAACTGCTGGTTGTGTAACTGTTTGCCAACACATTTGTCATATCTACCTATAAGATGAAATTACAGTGTGTCAGTGTTGTGTTTATGGGTTTTCTTCCCCACTGTTTTTCAATGGCTAGTTAAAGCATGTTTAAGTTACAAGTGTACAGTATATCTACCTTTATTTTCTATTCATTGCACCTTCATTCATCATTCATTCCCAATTATTGAATTTATAAGTTGCAGTAACTTTTGTAAAGCACTTTAAGTGTTCGAGTACGTTCTGTTCTATATTTATTTATGTAGCCTTTCTCATCTTAAATGACACTACAAGGAAATTCTTAAATTTCGTGAAACACTGGATACACATTATGAAATGTTATACATTTTATTTGCTCTGTGTTGAAAGCTTGGTCTTGCAAGTTTTTTCAGCTCAAACATGACCCGACTGCTCCCTCTGCAGGTCACAGCCACCAACTCTTCCATGTGTGCGGCATCCTCGGCACCCACTTTCAGATGAAGGCCGTTGAACAGGACATGGTGACGCGACGCCCCTGGCTCCTCGAACACTCTATTCCTGTCACATTTTCCAACTCTGTGGGTGCAGCTCTGCTTTGTTTGGTGCTAAATTTGACTATCATCATCCTCTTCAGTTTACCACTCCTCTCTGCACCGGTCTGCCAAGAAAAGAAATGCCGTAAAAGTCCAAAGAAAACCTCAGCCAAGGTGTGCCCCTGCTGCTAAATCTCCTACTTCATAAATCCCAGCAGAGGGATCCCAGCTGGTCATGAGACACACAGACATGTAAACAGTGTGGATTATGGGTGATATAAAACATTGCAAAGAGCACTCCTGAGCTAAGAGGAGCTGATGTAATGTTTAGATGAATGATGACTGGCAGTCTGCACTAAACTCATGGTGGTATTTGGCCTTCAGACATCGCTGTGGTGACTGCTGGTAGGTGTGGGAGTAAACTGAAAAAAAAGGGCATCATTTGCACAAATATGCAACAGAAATGTGACAATAACTGTGTTACTGTAATAAGAAATGAATCTAAATGTTTCTTAGGAAACTTTTCCGATAAAAAGCCACTAATGTAGCAGGTTAGCTACATTATGAGACAGTGCTTTATACATTATAGAAACTATAAAATTCTAAATGTAAATTTAACTTTAAATTGCTGCATGAAGTGCTGCATTTAGAAACTGTACCTTTTCATATTTATAATGCTTGTGCTTGTACAAAGCCTATTGGATTGTACTGAGTAAAAGCAGTGTGACAGCCACGCACATCAAACATAAAGACAAAAGAGGCAGTTATGACAAGGAAAGACAAATAATTTGCTTTGAACTGCCTGCAAAGTAGCAACTTAACAGATTTAAAGTTTCATTACTGATGACTTGAGATATTTTAAACAAATGAATTTTTTTCAGATTAGTTTATTTCCCTCACGTGATTGCTGTTTCTGTACCAGTAGACATTGTCACATTGTTCCTTTGCAAAACTGAAAGTATTTAAGTACAATGTTATTTATTTTATTTTTTTTTGGAATAAACTATACACCAAACTGACTATGTGTCCGTCTGTGTCTTTCTAACTGTAAAGAGGAGAGAGAATGTAACTTATTCATCTATTGTTGCAGCTTCATTATTTTTCCTATAACTATTAAGTGTTCTAGATATTAAAACAGTTTTTTAGATTTAATTTTCTACATGTAGGCTATACTCAGTTGGTAGTTAACTTTAGTCTTATACAGTCACTGGAACAGCCAACTCATCTCAACTCAACACAAGAGTACTACTAACATTCTCATGGACACACAGAGAGTAAAGCAGCAAAGACCCAAAGTTCAAGTTACTAATAAATAATCACACAACATTCATAAACACAGTTTGTTCACTTGAAAGCAATTTTGACTAAATAAAAGGCAAAATGTCGCATATGTAATTCCTTTGCTCAAGAACATTTAAGTCTGTATTATCTGTCCTAAAGCTAGAATCTGAGCGAAACATAACAATAGGGGCATTGACTTTGTTCTAGTACCAGTGGATGTATATTCCTTTAAAATACCTATTAAATGTCATAAGTGACAAATGAAAATGTGGAAAACCCCACATTGAAAGAATTCAGTATTAACTCTTGGAGTAGGAAGTTGTAACAGTTTATTAGTTTACTTGAGGGGAATTGGATTAATGAATAGTATTCATTTTAACGGTTAATCAACGCTGGTCCACATTCCAGCATAGCAGGTGGCAGCAATACACCTTAACGTTGGTACCTAACCACCATTTAAAAAAAAAAAAAAGAAGAAGAAGAAGAAGGCGGAACTTCCGCTGCAGAGCTACCGGTCTGCGCTGTGATTGGCTGAAATATGTGACTGTTAGACTGACGTTTCACAAGAGGGAATTTTTCAAATTGAGAAGAGGCGCTCTGTGAGAGAGTTGACCAACAACAATGCAGAGACCAGGGTGAGTACTACCCTCCGTTACATTTAGCTCGATTAAAAAAAAAAGCAACAGTCCACAACTATACAGTGCGTTAAACATTATCCAGATAGGGTAACTGACATAACCTGCTAGTGGTTGCTTTCTAGATAAAGAGTAGTCCGGCTAGTAGGGTTAGCGCCGTAGCGTTAGCTTAGCTCGCCGTCTGGTCAACGAAGGCTGGGTGACTGAAAACTGGTCGATGTTGGCGTACGAGCTCAGCATTAACTTTTCAAACAACTTAACGTTGCAATTATGTCATAGACGGATTATGAGACAACGCGCCCCTGGGCCCACACTAGTAAAATTCTCCCTAACTCTCCAGGCTGAAGAAGAAGTTGTAGTTGTTTGGTGTCTATTTTCATAGACTATTGTCTCGTTTAACGACTCTTTTTAGTCTTTTGCGTCTAGTTATTTTGCGTCTTTGTAATCATTTCGTGACTCCTTGTAGTTGTTTTTGTGTCTTTGTTATCATTTTGTCTCTGTGTGGTCGTTTGCATTTCATTGTAGTTGTTTTGTGCCTTCTGTAGTTGTTTGACTTCACTACAATAAGTATTAACAGTCACTTCAAACAGGCTCTGGATTTGGGTCCCCTTACCATTTACCATTTACCATTTGGGTCCCCTTGAGCCTCTCGGCCTGTGCCTGGTAGGCCTATTCTTTAAGTCATAGTGTTTCTCTACTAAAAATGCAAAAACTTAATGACATTTCAGTTAGTCTAACATGGCGAATATAATGTTACGTTCATATTTTAGCTGACTATCACCGCTGGATTGTCACAGAAAATTGTACTATATGGTCTAAAGTATGGACATTATTACTCACAACATACCTTTGTACATAGATGTATTTTTGGTCTGGTTTGGATTCTTCCAACTTCTGGCCTTGGCCCCTTACTTGTAATTTAGGAGAATCTTAATATTAGACAGACTATTTAAGACAATAGTGTGTTCTCAATTTTGTGGAAATCCCTTTCCCATCACTACATTACAGTGAACAATACCATAAATTTTGAGGTTTGTGTGGAAGAGCTTGACTGGCTCGCACAAAGCCCTGACCTCAACCCATTCAACACCTTGAGGATGAATTGGACCTCAGATTGAGAGCCAGGTATTGTTTAGGTGTCCCCATACATTTGGCTATGTAGTGTAAGTTACTTAGGTGAATCATATGGATTATTAACTACCCAAACAGTAAGTTAAATGCGGCATACAATTTTGTGTTTGACAATGATTCTGTATTGCTTCATCACTTACAGCAAAGGCAAGACTCCTCGGAGGCCTGGCCCAAAGAAGGCATCCAACATAGAGAAAGATCCTGTTGGAGTAAGTAAACACTACTTTGCTGATCCTCAAACTGAAACACTATCACACCACAGTCTCAGTAAAAGGGAAATTTGTTTCTCTATTCAAGCCCTTAATAGAAATGAAAGGAAAAGTCACCATTTTACCAAAACTGAATTTATGTTGAGCTAATCTAGTAATTCTTATAAACACACTATTCAAGACTTAAATTTATTTGAATGTAGTTCTTTCAGCTGTGATGCCTTTCTCAGCTTATGTATAGACTTCAAATCCAGATATAAAAACTGAGCTATACAGAAATGGCCTAGAATTTATTAATTAACACCAGGCTTAATTAATTAATTAATTAATTAATTTTTCTGTATGTAGGTATACTGCCGTATACGACCACTTGGAGCAGGAGATGAGGAATGTTGTATTGAGATGATCAGCAGCTCCACTATTCAGCTGCATGCTCCTGATGGTCTTAAAGCCAACCGCAATGGGGAATACAAAGAGGTAAATGTGTTGCTGCGTTTCTGCATGGAAAGTTATGAGTATGTAAAACATTTCAGTTGTCTGTCTGTCTGTCTGTCTGTCTGTCTGTCTTTGACACTAACTCTTTTAATACATGGTAATGATAATGGCTCTTGGCTCACTATCATACATTTTCTGTTGATTGCCATTCATGTTTGCTGAATGTTCTTTCTTTGTGTATTCTTTAGACACAGTACTCCTTTAAAAAAGTATTTGGTATTAATACCACTCAAATGGAGCTGTTTGAGGATGTTGCCAAGCCACTGGTAGACGACCTTATTCACTGTAAGAATGGTAAGTTCATGGCAAGGTGACATGCACTGTGCAGTATCCCATAAACTGTAGACTATTTATCCTCTCTAGTGCTGAAAGGATTAGTGGATCAGCAGAAAATGTGAACCAATTAATCATTGAAATTTATCAAGCAAAAATATCAAAAGTCACAATTGTGACAATTGGCTGCTTTTAAGACCTTTGGTCAGATAAAACATATAATATATAATATACAGCATGTTTTATCTGACCATCATCAAATACTATAAAAAGTATAACAGACTGCTCTAACCCTTTCTTTGGTTATGTGATTGTGATATTCCATGTTCATAGGTCTGCTGTTTACATACGGTGTTACTGGAAGTGGTAAGACCTTCACCATGACCGGCTCACCTGGGGAAGGTGGACTCCTCCCTCGTTCTTTAGACATGCTCTTCAACAGCATTGGTCCCTTTCAGGCCAAAAGATTTGTACGTCTTTCATTCATTTATGTTTTGCACACTTGGTCTAAAAAAAATACAGGGTGTACATTTACTTGAAATGTTTTAAATCTTCATTAGGTGTTTAAACCAGATGACAAGAATGGGATGGAAATTCAAGGTCAAGTTGATGCTCTCCTGGAGAGACAGAAGCGAGACAGTCAGCAGTCAGTGCCCAAAACACCATCTTCCAGGTATCTGAGTAAAAGTTATTATACTTTTTACTTACTATACTTACTACTACTTACTATACTAATGTATGGTGTTCATGAGTACTGATTTAAAATTGGAGGGAACTGGATTTAAAGTTCATGATGACTGCTGTTTATGATGTAATTTTTTTTTCATTTTATTTTCTTTATTTTTTAGGCAGAAGCCTGACCCAGAGTTTGCAGATATGATCAGCTCAGAGGAGGCATGTAAATCTGAGAATGTGGATGAAGACTGTTGTTACAGCGTCTTTGTGTCCTACATCGAGATCTATAATAACTATATTTATGATCTCCTTGAAGATGCTCCGTTTGACCCAATCAGACCAAAGTAAGAGACCAGATTTCAAATTTCAACTGTGCTTTTTGAAACACATTGTCATGTTGAAGGGTTTTCTGTACAAACCTTATCTGTATTCAGGTTATTACCTCTACCTTTGAGATTCTGTTTTCATGCGTGTTTGTTGGTTCATTTGTTTTTGTCAGCAGAATTAAGTAAAAAGTATTGAACAGATTTGCTCTAAACTTAATGGCAGAATGCTTAAAAGACTAGTTTGTGGTATTTTTTTGATGAGATGGTGACTCATACAGCTTCCCAACTGTATCCACAACATCACAAAATGCACTACTAATGTCCACTACAAATGTCTTTTTAATAATTGCAACCATGTGTTTCTGCATTATAACCACTTTGACTCTGTTCCATGTTTATTCTGAGTAAGTTTTTTTGCTTTGTAGTTCTGTGTTGAAAAGATACACTTTTTAAAAGTCCTGTTTTTGTTAGGTGGCTTGGCGGAGGCACACCTGTAAGGAACAATGAGTTCATGTATGTGGCCAGTAAAGAACATTACACAGTGCTTTATTTATTCGTACTTGTAACTTGGCTGTAGCTGATATTTTCCGTGAGTCCTCAGTGTATTTCCATCCCATTAATCCAAAACCCTGTATATAGAATAGGTGTAGTTTACTAGCTTTGTGTAATTTCAGTGGCTGTTGTCTTTAAGGATTGGCTCCTGGCTGTTACTGTTGATGCAGAGATACAAAACATCTCTGAATGTCTTAAGCTTGTGTGTAAACCAGTTGCACATGTGTCTGTACCCCTGTATGTGTTTGTATGTGTCTCTAGATTGTATTTTATTTTGTTGTTGACACTAACATCAAGCATTTGTCATTTGAGCTTTTGCTGCTTGTCATACTAAAGCAAAACATTGTGATACATTATTGGTGTGTGTTGTTGATCATTTTGAATAACTTGTTTCAGACCGCCTCAATCCAAGATTCTCCGTGAAGATCAGAATCATAACATGTATGTGGCTGGCTGCACAGAAGTTGAGGTAAAATCTACAGAAGAGGCTTTTGAAGTCTTTTGGAAGGGTGAGTGGTAATAATTTCTTTTGCCTATAGTTACATTGTATTATATTTTATGTATTTTGTCTTATGTGTGTTCCCGTAACATGCAGACCAGTCTGTATTACAAGATACTGTTACTGCTCTTGTTAATGTCACACATTGTATTTATGATCTGCTCTGTCTCCAGGACAAAAGAAAAGGAGGATAGCCAACACTCAGCTCAACCGTGAATCCAGTCGCTCCCACAGTGTGTTCACAGTAAAGCTGGCCCAGGCACCACTGGATGCTGATGGTGACCACATTCTACAGGTGACATACAGCTCCAGTTGCATATTGGAAAATGATTTTCATTTCATGATTTTATGACAAGTGTTTATTCAGTGACAGCCAGAGAATCCTTTGTGAATTTCAATTTAAGCTAATCAGGCTGTAACAAAAACAGGCCAAATAAGCACACCTCCTGTGTCACAAATGATTCAGCCGGTCTATAATTATGCTAATGGGTGTGTTGGAACACAGGACAAAAACCAGGTGAATGTGAGCCAGCTCTGTCTGGTTGACCTGGCAGGCAGTGAGCGCACCAGCAGAACCAGAGCAGAGGGAAGCCGTCTCCGTGAAGCAGGTCAGTTCATTCCTTACTGTGGGCTTGTCTCTGAAGTCGACCAGAGGCATTTTCCCTTTACCCTCAGATTTTTTTAACCTATTTTTTATGTCTTTAGTAATAGTGTTTGTCCAAATGTCTATGATGTGTCATTTACAGGTAATATTAACCAGTCCTTGATGACACTGCGCACGTGTATGGAAGTCCTGCGTGAAAACCAGATGTGTGGAACTAATAAGGTTGGTATTTTAACATGTGTTCATCATTGTATCTGTATTGTTTCTTTTTTAACTGTTACTCTGTTTTATTTCTTTGTAGAGAAATATTCATCTGCATTCTTATTGTTGGTCATTTTACAGTAAGTGCAGTTTCACAGAGTTTTTTTTTTTTTTTTTTTCCAGATGGTGCCATACAGGGACTCTAAAGTTACACATCTGTTTAAAAACTATTTTGATGGAGAAGGGAAAGTCAGGATGATTGTGTGTGTCAACCCAAACGCTGATGATTATGAAGAAACTATGGTAAGATATTGTATTTGTTTTGTAGAATGGCTTGAATGTAAAATCTTATCTCTTTAATCTCACTTTCTTTACATCATCGTCATCCTTCGCAAGTCTGAACTTACAAATGCATCATTGCAACTGCTGTCTGGCTTGCCATCAAACCACAACAAAAAATTTGACAAGATTGCTAAATATCCACTCCCTGGTTTTCTTTCTTTGCCCGGTAGTGCCCCATAAATATATGGATTTCCTCAGTTGGGTTTCAAAAGATCCACATTTACTTTGGAACACTGCTACGTGCTTTAAGGAAGTTAGGGAGTGTATTTTTAATGCTATTCCATTGTATGCGCTGCAGCTGGTGATGCGCTTTGCAGAGATGACACAGGAAGTGGAGGTGGCACGACCAGTAGACCGGCCAATCTGTGGCCTTGCTGCAGGACGCAGGCACAGAAACCAGGCATTCAGAGATGAGTTTTCACGTCACCTGGAAGAGCGAGGAGGTCCTACTAATGCTGGTACATCATCCTTAAGTATTCACTACAAGCTCATTGTGCTTGTTTCGTGTTTCATTCTTACATGTCAGATCTGCATCTCAGAAATGTAGCTGTTTTATTCACTGTATGTTTCTAATTCTACGCAAACATTTCTAATGACATATTCTCGTTCACACAGTAGATGACCCAGCTCTGCTGAATCAGCTCATAGAAAGCCTTCCGGCCCTGCCTCCTTGTGAGCTGGTGGACCCAGATGATGACCAGACGCTGCCCCGCCTGATTGAAGTCCTGGAAACGAGGCATCGTATTCGTCAGATGATGACAGACCAGTTCAACAAAACTGGTACAGGCCCGTTTTCTACATCACAGATAGCCTACTTCATGATTTTAGTCAGCAGCAATTTAATATTCAGTAGAGCAAAGGTGAATCAGTAGTTTGGTCACAGTCATGGAATTGGGACAGAAGGTTTTTGTGTTCACAGAGTATTTTTTGTTTGTCTGCATTAAAGAGCGACATTGTAAGTTTTGAGGTAGAGTTTAAAACCTTTCAAGCCAAATGGCTGACTGCTTACATTAATGTGTTTTCTCCTACAGCCAGTACACTGAAGTGTATGCTTGAGCAGTTTGACAGTCAGATCAACGCAAAGGAGACCTACCTGCATGATCAACAAAGCAAACTGAACCAGAAAGACAAAGTCATCATCAACCAGAGGACGGAGATGGAACGATTAGAGAAAAAATCTAAAACATTGGAATACAAGGTGTTTTGTCCTTCACGCTCTCTTTTATTCTTTCTTCTCTAGTTGGTTCGCAACATTTTAAACATGTTTATAAAAGTAAGAATATGTGAATTGGAATTTTTTGATTTGTTTTAAGTGAAGCTTCTACTTACTATTACTGTTTTTGTTTTTGTTTCTCCTCACATTACTGGCATTCCTCTTCAGATTGATATCCTGCAAAAGACAACAGACATGTATGAGCATGATAAACGCTCACTTAAGCAGGAGCTGGAGACGCGTGAGCAGAGGCTACAGAGAGAGCTGTCAGAGAGGAGGCGCATGGAGCATCGCATGCAGGGCATGGTGACAGACACCAAACTCAAGTGGGAGAAAGAGTGTGTAAGTGGCATTATTGACAGTAGCCCTACTATTTGGTAACATTTGGTTTGTATATTGAAGGCTTGCACATACTTGTCAATAATTTACATCAAGGGAGCTGAATGTATGTTTGTGCTGTTCACTTCCTTTTTTTAGTAGCGACGGTCACTGGTCAAGCATATCAAAAAAAGTAGGAGCAAAACATCGTGAGATAGATTATTTACTTTCCTTACTCTTACACATGGAAAAACAGAAGTTAGAAGAATGCAGAATTCACACGGAGCAAAACTACAGAAGATGCTGACTACTGTGAGCGACTTTGTAAAAAGTCATTTATGACCTGTTCTTAAAGCAAAAGACATGACTACTTCAATCTCATTACTCACCAAAGGCGGTTTTGTGCAGTGTCGGGTAGTACACAAAACAATTAGTAAGAATGATGTCTTTTGCCAAATAATAACATAACATAAATATTAATTTATCTTCTTGACTACTACTGAAAGGTTAATTTAAGAGGATAGAGCCAAAATAAGAAATTATTATTATCTTCCCTTTTCATAATATAACAAAGCATAAAACAAAAAGGCTGTGGTGCTGTGACAGACTTGAAATTCAGCTTTGAAAGAACAAAAAAATCCAACATTTTGTCGATCACTTGTACTCACTTTACTATGTTTGGCTCAACCCTTCATCAGGTAAAATTTGTAGCACAAGAACTTTGTAGTTGGTAAAATTCAACTTATTCATTTAGAAATGAGACATGTGAGCCGCAATATCTCAGAGAATTTTGTCATATAGAATTAATGAATGAGCCTGTTCCTTCAGTTGCTTCTGGTGTTTTTCCCATTAGGAGAGACGAGTGAACGCAAAGCAGCTGGAGATGCAGAACAAGTTGTGGGTGAAAGATGAAAAGTTGAAGCAGCTCAAGGCCATAGTGACTGAGAGCAGCAGCAGTGGCGGCTGTCTCACTGGCCGCCCAGAGAAGCCTGAGAGGCCCTCAAGGGAGAGAGACCGTAACAACGCCCAGAAGAGATCTGCCTCACCATCACCACTTCCTGTGAGTTATGTACTCGGTAGTACTGCCTGTTCCATCAGTGTGCACTTGATCACTCTCTTATGAAACTTTTTTCACGTGGAAATTTTGCATGTACTAATTATTATTGTGATACTCTTCAGTCTGAATTCTCAGATTTCTGTGCTAACTGTGCACAGCAGCTTCTATACTACACGTTACCCTGTTGTGTATTTGTGTCAGTCTGGAGGCATCGCTAACATCCACAATGCTTGGCCCCATTTCCTCATCACTTTCAGGACTTGAGCCAAACCCCTTCTCACCAAAAACGAGGCAATGTTAGGGCAGTTCAAGAAGCTTACCCCACCTCCTCTTCCACTACCTCCTCTACCTCCTCTTCATCTCTACGTTCAGTGGCCTCCTGCATCTCCGAGTGGGAGCAGAGGTTCCCTGTAGACTCAAGCAGCCAGACTAGGTACCCTGGGACTCCCCAGTACAGGAGCCGGACTCCCGCCCAATGCCACGGCACCAGCAGTGTGGGTCGCAGGAGAGGCCAACACTGGGCCAAAGACACTGAGGCCCCTGCTACGACTCTTGTCTATGGGCTAGACCTAGAGGCAGGCACAAGGGTTAGTGTGTGTTAGAACCTAGATGTTGTTAAGAATATGTTGTTTTTCTCTCTGAGCCTGTAGTCTAAGCCTTGCCTTAGTATAGAGCTTCGCCTGTTTGTTTCCAAATGCACGAGTAGAAGTGCTCCACACGTGTTGTCCAGTGTACTTGTAAAGATCCTCTTGACTTGCATCTTAAGCCCTGTGAGTAGTTAGATCATGTTTGTAGTTCTTTCTGTTCCCTGTTTCCAACTGCTCTGTAGAATTACTTCTTCCTTGTACTGTATCATCACACATTTCAGTGGCAGCACTTAAAATGACAAACTGGCCATTAAAACAAACACACACACCTGTACCACATAGCAGCAGTGCACTATTGCACACTTGCAGAAGTAGGCCAAAAAACGTGGCACTCAACACTTGGGTGTACTCCGCTTGCATAATATATTTAGCATCCACTTTTAACAACTGTAACAATCAAAAATCTGGCCATTACGTTTTCATTTTCATGTCTTTTCACTGAGGCATTGCCATGCATATTTCTGGCTTTTATGGAGCTGGAGTTTGCATAACTGTACACTAAACATCTAATACCGTTGCTACCATTACGCAGAGTAATAAGAGCAAGTAATTGTAACTGATCCCTTTATTAATGCCGTCATTATGTTGAAACCAAAAAGAACCAACATAATGATTTAAAGGTGAGTTCTTAGGGTTTATAGTGTTCTTTCCAAGTGGCAACCTCCGAGGCTGAAAAATGAAGCCCACGCATAAGTACCAAAAACTGCAGTTCTTCGAATTGCTGCTTGAGCCTGGCTCCAAAAGCGAGTCAATCCCCATAGACTCCCATGTTAAAATGCCCAACTTTACAGCAGAAATAAACATGTTTACAGCCTAGTACAAAAACAGTTCTGGTCTCTTTAGCTAATTTTCTCCTTCATGACAACTATGAGGGGTGAATTTTTATACAACTCACTCATTTAGATTTTATTAAGGCTTAAAGATCTGCATAATTGAGGGCGTGCTGCTTTGAGTGACAGACAGGTGAGCGCATAAGTCGTCATGCACTAAAGTCTCGGCTCGCCGCACGTTCCTCCTCTTTGCCCATTTTCAGATTAGCCAGGAGTGCGGCAGAGGCGCTCCTCAGAAACCTATGGGTGACGTCACGGAGGCTACGTCCATCTTTATTTACAGTCTATGATTCTGTCACACCATAAATCACTTCGCATTCACACAATTATTTCAGCACAAAATTGAATTATCTTTTATACTTTTCCTTTCGCACATAGGTTTCTGAGGAGCGCCTCTGCGCACTCCTGGCTAATCTAAAATGGGCAAAGAGGAGGAACGTGCGGACGAGCCGAGACTTTAGTGCATGAACAGCTTATGCGCCTCACCTGTCTGTCACTCAAAGACGGGCACGCCCTCAATTATGCAGATCTTTAGGCCTTAATAAAATCTAATGAGTGAGTTGTATAAAAAATTCACCCCTCATAGTTGTCATGAAGGAGAAAATTAGCTAAAGAGACCGCAGAACTGTTTTTGTACAGGCTGTAAACATGTTTATTTCTGCTGTAAAGTTGGGCATTTTTAACATGGGAGTCTATGGGGATTGACTCGCTTTTGGAGCCAGGCTCAAGCAGCAATTCAGAGAACTGAGTTTTTGGTACTTATGCGTTGGGCTTCATTTTTCAGCCTCGGAGTTGCCACTTGGAAAGAACACTATAAACCGCTAAAGATCTCACCTTTAAATCATTATGTTGGTTCTTTTTTGGTTTCAACATAAGACCGGGAATAGGTTGAGGTGGGAGCGGTTGGTGTGAGAGGGGTAAAGAGTTCTTGGAGAGTTGTTGTGCTGGGTCTCGATTGCCCGAGCGTGGTCTTTGGTCCTCGCGTGCATTTGGACGTGTTCGCCCGTGAGGTGGCCCTCGTTCGACGTGGTTGAAGCGTGTTGGGGGGGTGCGGTGTAGTTGGGCCAGGTTGGGCGATCGCGGACTGCGTGTTGCTGGCACCCACCACAACTCCATATGTCAGGCCTCAAGGCACTGTCTGATTGCTTGCGTCCTCATTACACTCACGCTCTCTTTACAACTCAGGAAGGATTTCTTCACTTACTCCACCCCTTACCCAGCCCCAGGTTGATTCTTTACAAGACCTCCTCCCCTTCATCTTTGGCCTCCTCCTCTCTTTATCTCCACCGGGCTACCCTGGGACTCCTTCAGCCTTCTTGATTCCCCCCATGGGGTCGGGTGGGGTGGGTAGGGGTGTGTATGGAGGTGGATCGGGTGCATCCATTGGGGCTGCTGATCAAAAGCCCCCGGGGATTCCCCAGGGAGGACATTGGTATGAGGCAGAGGGAGATTAAACAGCAGTGCTAAGCCAGAAAACACAGAGCTGAGGTGAGGGGCGAGGGGGTTATTGTGGCTGCTTCTAAACCCAGGGAGGGGCAGCCCCGTCTTAATCCCCCTAAAATGAGGTGAGGGGATATCTCACATAGGCTGCGTTTGCACGTGTAAAGGGTCCTAAGTGGCGTGTTTGCATGCGTCGATGAAACCCTCGAGAAGCTATTGTGTTTGTTAAAATCGAAGGGCCATATGAGAAAGTGGTGTAGATGTGAGAAATCTCTGGATTTGTAAAGCAGCCGTGATAGTGGTATTGAGGACGACAGAAGCATCAGAACACAATAGTGGACCTTGAGGCTGACAATATCCTGGTGGTGTGTGTGTGTGTGTGTGTGTGTGTGTGTGTATGGTGTGTGTGTGTGTGTGTGTGTGTGTGTGTTGTGGTGTGTGTGTCGTGCGCAGCGTCACGTGTGTGTCTGATTGCATTGTTTGTCATTCGAACAACTGAGCCTCTTTTTTGAAGATGTTTGTGCTACGTTGCAGGCAGTGGTGGCAAGCTCTGTGTGTGGCGCCTGTACAGTTATGTGTGTGGGATGTTTTTTGGCCTGTTTGTGCAGAGTGGTGTGTGTGTTGTGTGTGTGTCGTGTCCCGTGTGTGTTCCGTCAACGTTCAGAGACCCATGTGAAGGGCTAACGCTGATTCAGTCTGGCGGATGGTAGCGTCTGAAAGCGGCCAGGGAACCTACGGGAGCAAATGATATTTCATTGTCTTAAACGCTTACTCGGGTTTGCCGGCGGCCTTGTTGCAACCCGCGGTGTTCATGTTAACATTATGACCGTGGAGACTGACCCGGGACGACACTGCTCCTAAAGGAGAGGAGGAGGCAGAGAGGAGAGGGAGAGAGCTGAGGAGCGTGGCAGGGAGATGGTGCAATGTGAATGATCATAATAACATAGAATGTGGGCAATAAGACAGGGGAGAGGATGACGAAGTGGGCGCTGCTCCAGCTGAGGTCAATCTTTCAAAGTCACTAATCCACAGTTTGGCTGCATTTTGACAAAGGAACTGACATGCAGTAATTTCTTAAAGAATGTGCGATTGAGTGGTAACTTCTGTTTCTATTCCATGATTTTTTCCCCTTTATTTTTGTATTTATTTTAGTCTAGAGGTTGCTCTATGTTTTTATGTATCAGTTTAATCCATGTTTACTATAATCTCTTTTACATCATTTTTCTTATTCATCTATTTTCTGCTGTGTGGATGCTAAAGTCTCAAGTAGGTATGATTCATCGCACTCGTATAAAGTAGGGCATATAAAATTAAAATGAGCGAGTGTGTTTTAGAATACAGCCGATCTAGTTACTAATTAGCTTTTGCTCTTTGATTAGCTTATCTGCTGGCCGTATATGTAGGCTAACGGTATTAGTATTGTTTTAGTGTACAGTTATGCAAACTCAGCTCCATAAAGCCAGGAAATATGCATGGCAATGCCTCAGTGAAAAGACATGAAAATGAAAACGCTAATGGCCAGATTTTTGATGTGTACAGTTGTTTAAAAGTGGACGCTAAAGATATTATGCAAGCAGAGTACACCCAAGGTGTTGAGTGCCACGTTTTTTGGCCTACTTCTGCAAGTGTGCAATAGTGCACTGCTGCTATTGCTGGTACAGGTGTGGTGTGCCTTGTTTTTAATGGCCGTTTGTCATTTTAAGTGCTGCCACTGAAATGTTGTGACGATACAGTACAAGGAAGAAGTAATTCTACAAGAGCAGTTGGAAACAGGGAACAGAAAGACTACAACATGATCTAATACTCACAGGGCTTAAGAGCAAGTCAAGAGGATCTTTACAAGTACACTGGACAATCACGTTGGAGCTACTTCTACTCGTGCATTGAACAAACAGGCGAAGCTCTAAACTTAAGCAGAAGGTTAGACTACAGGCTCAGAAGAGAAAAAACAACATATTCTAACAACATCTAGGTTCTAACAACACTAAACCTTGTGCCCTGCCTCTAGGTCTAGCCCATAGACAAGATGTCGTAGCAGGGCCTCAGTGTCTTTGTGCCAGTGTTGGCCTCTCCTGGCGACCCACAGCTGCTGGTGCCGTGCATTGGGCGGGAGTCCGGCTCCTGTACTGGGGAGTCCCAGGGTACCTAGTCTGGCTGCTTGAGTCTACAGGGAACCTCTGCTCCCACTCGGAATGCAGGAGGCCACTGAACGTAGAGATTGAAAGGAGGTAGAGGATGGTAGTGGAAGAGGAGGTGGGGTAAGCTTCTTGAACTGCCCTAACATTGCCTCGTTTTTGGTGAGAAGGGGTTTGGCTCAAGTCCTGAAAGTGATGAGGAAATGGGGCCAACATGTGGTGGATGTTAGCGATGCTCCAGACTGACACAAATACACAACAGGGGTAACGTGTAGTATAGAAAGCTGCTGTGCACAGTTAGCACAGAAATCTGAGAATTCAGACTGAAGAGTATCACAATAATAATTAGTAACATGCAAAATTTCCACGTGAAAAAAGTTTCATAAGAGAGATGATCAAGTGCACACTGATGGAACAGGCAGTACTACCGAGTACATAACTCACAGGAATGTGGTGATGGTGAGGCAGATCTCTCGGGCGTTGTTACGGTCTTCTCTCCCTTGAGGGCCTCTCAGGCTTCTCTGGGCGGGCCAGT